CCTCCTTCCACAGATCTTTCCAGTGGTCACAACATGTTATATTTTCCGTCTTCTCATAACATGGCCGAAAAATGATGGATGTCTCCTTCTGATGTCTGTGATAAATTGTCTTCGGGCTCCCGCCTCTTTTAAAACCTCTTGGTTGCTCTTTTTGGCTGTCCAAGGTATTCTAAGCATTCTTCTGTAAAACCACATATCTGAGGCCTCAAGAAATTGTTTGGCTGGATATATGTAGCAAGCAAGAATTCTTTTTCTAACTCTCAATGACAAAGATATATTGCACAAGATGTTCTATTATGTTTCTTATTTCAGTAATGCATCTTCCATCTGATGTTATCCACGTGCCCTGATATTTAAATTTCTGTACTTGTCCCAAAATAACACCATCGACTTTTATTGCACATTTAGGAATAATTCGTTTCTTTGATACCACCATTACTTCTGTCTTCCCATTATTCAAACTAAGGCCCATTCCTCCACTTTCTAACACCAAAATGTCTATAATTTCTGTAGTTATTTCTGACTTGTTGCTATCAAGACTGTGTCATCAAAATAACGTAAATTGTTTATATTGTGCCCACCAACCACAATTCCGGGCATATCAATTAAAGATCTCATTATATATTAACTGTATATTGAAAACAAATCAGGAATCAGGTGACAGTATACATCCTTGTCGTAGACCCCTCTTTTTACTTTGAAATGTACCTAAAGAGTTGTTATTTCTTATAGCTGATGTTTGCTGCCAATACATATTCTTTCTTATTCGTAGATCTTTTCCATTAATGTTCAATTTTTCTAACAGTTTGATTACTTCCTCATGCTTCACACAGTCAAATGCTTTTGTATAGTCTATGAAGCATAAGTAAAAATCAGTCTTTACTTCTATAGCTCTTTCTGACAATGCCCTTAGGATGTATATGGCATTGTTTTGTAACTTTTCCTTCTACGAATCCACATTTGGAACCCCTCGTAAACATCAAAAGCAAATGTATCTGCGTTTGACCAGGTATCTTTCCTTGGCCGGTAACTACCCAAACCTTTTGGCAGCAGCTATTTCATTTCCAAAAATATTTGTAGTTTAACAGCCCAATAATGTGTGTACAGAAAGTATCTGATAAAATATGTGTTCATATATTTCATATTATGTCAAGTATATCATTATATTTATTTCCATTCAGCACATTATTATTATTATTATTACTATTATTATTATTATCATCATCATTATGCTGAATTGCATCTAATATACAATATACTTAAAAACAAGGATTGTAAAATTATTTTTTTTGAAACGTAAAAAAAGTATGAGTAATTACTTTCTTTCTTAAAAGTTCTATGTATGGTTGCAGGGGGTTCTTATTATTCTTTAAAAAATATTTGGTATCACACCCGACCCAACCTCTTTTTGAAATTTGGCGCCTATATGAAAAACGACCTACATTCTAATCATAAACACAGACAGTATTTCTGGTATTAACTTGTGCCGTTAGCGAGCAAAATATTGAGGTTAATTTATGGCAAGCTCAAGCAAGGGAAGAGATCCCAAGGAGGACAGAAAAAGGGCTATAAGGACACTCTCAAAACTAGTCGCATTTCTTCCTACATTAGACGGCGACATGGGGAGCTGCTGCACAAGACCGTTCTGGGTGGCGTGCATCCCTCAGGCATGGTTGTACAGGCAGAAAGACAGAGGCAGACTAGAAAGAACCATATCGCTGATCTCACACTTACTGCGGCTGTCACCTGCTGTCCGCACTGCTAAAAAAACAACCTGTCCAGGCTCAAATTAGACAAATCAGCCCCTTCGAACTCATAATCATGTGCTTGTTTGTTTATTTATCGGATCAACAACATGACACACGGGTGTAACCCATAATTGATCAGTTCTACTTCAAACTCAAGCCTGAGTCTGAAAATCTCAGCGCAGTGCACGAGACTCTGATGCACCGGTGAGGATCCTGAAATGTTTTGAGCAGATTTGTAACACACAATTTTGCCTGGGCAGCGCCGTTAGGCTACTGTTTTCGATTTCGAACTGAGAATGTATTTTTTTTAACGTGCACAACTGTAAACAGGGGAAATTACTAGAAGTCCACTTAAAAGAATCCCAGCCCTAACTAGGGTATGAACCTGGGACCTCCAGCACTCGAGGCGGATGGCATACATGAAGACTACTCAGCTTCCTGGGAGGACTCAAGGGACCTGAGCCTACAGGTCCTGACAACTATGCAATACGTCCAAGTATCCGTCTCGCGCATCACTAATAACCTTCGTGATAAGTGTGGCCAAATCTGAAGATTGTTTTGGGAAACGTTGTCAGCAACATCTCGACGTGAATAATAATAAAAACAATTATCCTTAGTCTTCAGTATCCCGAGCCTTTGAATTGCATTACGGCAGATGTCGCCCGTCCCAAATCATCTCTTTTTTTTTCACTTGGTGACTGCGAGTGTTTGTAAATTATCTTCGAAGTTATCTTTTCTTGGTCTACCTAGTAGTCTGCCGCCATTCAACTTCCGTATATGTGTGTGTGTGTGTGTGTGTGTGTGTGTGTGTGTGTGTGTGTGTGTGTGTGTATATATATATATATATATACACACACACTCACATATATACACAGAGTTTTTGCCTCTGTCATCCGCCATTCTCTCTATCTGCCCTAGCCATTTCTGTCTACTAGCTCTCACGAGGCCAGTGATCAATGATGATTTAAATACATTATGAATTTCGTTGTTGCTTCTCTCTCAGTTCCCTGCTGTTTGCATCTTTGTTGGGTCTAAACAATTCTCAAAAGATTGTTTTCACAAAATTATAAAAAGGCTAATCTACATCTCTTTAGTTGCACTCCAGGTTTCAGAGCCATATAGCACAACTGGTCTAATCAGCGCTTTATTTATTGTGATCATGGTTTTACTGGATAGAGCATTTCATGTTATTAGATGTTGCAGACTTGCTTTGTTTTTATATTGTATTCTACCTTGTATCAAGAAAATGTATGAATCATTTGACAAGAGACACTTTGACACACCCAAAATACAGACATACTCCTTACGTCCTTATTAGGACAGAATTTTTTCTTCTTTGAAGCCCTATCCTGGCTTTTGCCAGGGGCCGCAATACAGGCAGGCCATAAATGTGGCCAATTGTCTGAACGCGGTTTCTGGGACCTCTTTAGGGTGATCCTCAACCACATGGTGGCACTTTGTGTCATCGGGTGTTTATCGCTTGTGTGATGTCCTGGTGGGGTAGAAAGTCAGTCAGTCACACTTTGACACAGCATGCAAATGTATAAACTGACATAACTATGAGTGAAGCTCTCGCACGAGAACTATGGATCAGCTGTCCATTCATATCTACAAAAGATAAATCGAATCAGAGCAAAGAGCCTTTTCACTTTATATACTTGGAAACGACTATCCATCCACTATGTGGTTTGTGATCAACATTACACACCCTGATTGCAGCAGAGACACACTCAGTATCAACGTTGGAAGCTTGTACGAATTTCAGAGAAGATGCAGCAAAACTGAACTCAGCAGTCCCAGTAGTCCAGTTTAACTTAAAAAAAAAACACACACACACACACACCCACACAGCTGTCACAACATTTCTGACTGTATTGTAGGCATTCTCAAGATTAAGTGCTACCGCAACCGTCTCCTGTCTGTTTTAAAACCCCTCATAAACGTCAAAAGCAAAAGTAGCTGCTTTTGATCAGGTATCTTTCCGTGGCCTCTCAGAGTCCAACACCACGTCCCCTTCGTGAGAGGTGGTAACAGGACAAAATAAGGGATTGCTAGGATTGGGTGAAGTGTGGCGTGGCCTTGTGCCACGGAACCGCAACGGCAGCCTTAATCACTATCCTGGGTTACCCCAAAACGTCCTGGTCAACGGGACTCTGGTGAAGTTGCGACAGGCTTAGCAAGCCGGCAATGGATTTAATACCGTTACAACAAGCATAATGAGGTATAAACGGAAAATCAAACGGCATTTGACCATGGCAATATTAGAGGTCTACGAGAGAGAAAAGCGAATTACAAGATTACAGCACAACACTGCAGGCCTAGGAAATAAAACAGAAGAGATTATTGAAATAATAGAAAGAAAGAAAATCAATTTAATGGGGCTAGCTGATATAAGATGCAGGGGGACTGGAAATAAGAAAGATCACAGAGATTATCTTTTCACATTCTCAGAAGAAAAAAACACATCAAAGAATAGAATGGGATTCCTGGTGCATCCAGACATAGCTAACTACATATTAGAAATCCGTTACCACTCAGACAGAATGATAAAGTTGACAATTAACCGATGACATTTTCAAAGTAGTAAAAAGGATAGAACTCCATGGTGGACATTTGCAGTGACTCAGCCTACTATCTGCATACGGAGCCATCCACGACCTAGTAGTTCATACTCATTGAAACACTCAGTAAATAGGCTAGTTGCGTATCCTTTACAGGACGTTGCAGAACCAACCCCAACAGGCAGTTGTGTGGTTCCTCTAGGCAAATTTATGTCCAATAGTTTGCCATTGCCCCCCCCCCCCCCCGGTCGGCCCCCTAATACCACTGTCGAAACCAGCGCAAAGCGCATGGCCCGCAGCTGGGATCGAACCCGGCATCCCGGCATTACGAAACTTTCGCATTGACTTAGCCACAGAGCCGACAATCACTGGTTAGCTAGCTTTTGGTGCAGTGTCGTAGGTTGCGTCCCTTAGATAGAGAGTTCAAGGGTCAGAAGTAACATTAAAAAGTTGTCAGTCAACAGCAGCAGCAGATACCATTAAGTTTACCTATATTATTTATATAAACGTCTACCATGCCTACTTATTGAATATTTTAAAAACCAAAATAAAACTGGCGAACAAATCCTTTAATAAGCGAATGAACAACGTTTTTAGAAGTTCGTGCCGTTTGTTTAGAATTCAAACAATCGTAGGCCATTGCTACGGAAGGACATCATCAACAACGACGACTAGCAGCAGCATCATCAACATGGACACGAATCAAATACCAGCTAATGATATTAACAGTACATCACAATTGCTAAACGCCATAAATTATGTCCCAAAAGTCAGCGATCAGAGTACAGCCGGCATAATTGGTATGTTCTCATGCTGGACCTATTCTTTGTTGCATGCATGTATGGGCTCTCCTCCGAACTTCGTCCCCATATTAGCGGCCAAACGAATACCCTAACAGGGCCTCAGTCGTGTTAAAATGTGAAGTGCCTGCCGAAGAACAAATCGCGGCAGAACTAAGATTGCCTCCGAATAACGGGCCAATATTATCGAGGGCAAACAAATACTCTAACAGGGTCTCAGTGATGTGTTAACTGTCTACTTGTTTTTGCCACTATGCCGAAATGCCGACAGTATCCCCCGCAGCGCTAGGCGCGGATGGGGGCTGTTAGATTGCTGGGACTCATAAGCAAATAAATTGGAGGAAGTTGCTGGTGGTGCAGTGGCTGCTGCTCGTGAGTCCCAGCCATCTAGTTTAACTCCCCATTCGTGCTGCGCGTATCGGCACAAATACACCCAGCGGTGAGTTTAATCGGAAGAACACTATTACTAACCTGCGTCTTGGTGCGTGGTCTCCCTGCTATGTTGCTATTATCGTGTGTATTGTTGCGTTTCTCGAAAGTGTCAACAGACAGTAATCCTAGTTTTGTGGCGATATGTCCGCATTTTACACACGACTGAAGCCCTGTTAGGTTATTTGTTTGGCCGCTATAATATGGAACGAAGTTCGGAGGAGAGCCCATGTTATGATGTGGCTTGTTTTTTTGGGCGTACACTCATAGTATGTAATGTTTGTGGAAGGTTGCGTTCCTGTGAGTCTAGCGCCGAAGGCACCTGTGTACAGGTAAGAAGTACTGCAGGGGGAATTGCCGCAGGCGTGACGATTTTGGCTATCGAAACTGGGATGTTTTTCTATTTCCACGTTCGTTGGTGGCGGCTCGTGCCTAAGAGAAAGAAAGCTGTTACAAGTAAGTAAGAAAGTAAAGATCCCTTTTCACGCCTTAGGTGCATATGGGAAGAGCGTCCTCTATTTTTACAGACCAATCGGCACTGGGTGGGTAATGTGGTCAGCATTACGCCGGTCGTCTTTACTTCCCCAGGACAGCCATTCTGGTACCCATTTTAGGCTGGGTTGACCTGAGACGCCCCATACCATGATAAAAATCCACGCAGCCTTCAGTGGGTTTTGATCGTGGTACGTTGGAATTAAAGCTGTTACAAGGAGCGTAGGAATATAAAAAAATATCGCTGTTTATATACTCCCAAAACATCACGGAGGTAGCAGAATGTGAAAATACTCACTCAAGCAAGCGGTGAGAAGATGAGAAAAAGAGGCAACGGTTAAAGCATTCACAAAAAAGAAGACATAACTCCCCTGCAGCATAAGAGAGTTTCAGCTACATAAGGAGGCATGAAGGGCAAGGGAAGTTACTCTAATCCTGGGCCGCCCATCGTGACCTGTGGGTCTTCAGAATATTAAAAAATTGCATACCGCAAGGGGACGACATTTGCACCTCTGATCATGTCTGTCCGCAATCTATGATCAATAACAACAGCATGTAACACTAGTCAACAAATTTTCAAATTTTTTTTTGAATTACCAGAATTTAAATACATCATTTCTAATTGATTTTGATATGCTGATTTCAAATATCATAATGCAATTTACCCACTGGCTCTAGTTTTTTGTTTCAAATGATGAATTTACTTTACAAATTAGATTATAATAAAGAAAACCAATTTTCAAAGACATGTTGCATCCAGGGCTCTCATACTTTAGAAGAATATTTTCTACGATCTTACTGAAATTATCAGATCTGTTATATCCATTAAAATTGCCCACCACTGACTCAGATGCTAGCCATGCTGCTTTTTCCTTGTCATGCAACACACAAAGAAACTTCTTTCAAAGATACTTCTCAACGTAAAAAAGTTTTCGAATTTGCGGACCAACAAATATTCCCTCCTTTTTTTGACCAGAATTTAAATACTCATTTCTAATTGATTTTGATATGTTGATTTTAAATATCATATCATATATATCACTTAAAAATATATATATTATATCATATATATCATGTATATTATATCACTTATATATTGAATTTTATGGCTTCAGAAGTCCCGGATAGTTGATGTCCTTTAAATATTTTCTTCAGGTTATGCTGGTGTATTGGGAATTGAGCAGGCAGATAGACTTGGCCAGTTCTGCACCAGTGTTGGTGTAATGATGTATGACACGCTAGATGTTGTCAGGGCCCTTTAGAGGCACAAATAGTTGATTATGGTCTAAGGAGAATGGCATTGTGAGGAGTTACCAGGGGATCTGGCCGACACTGAACATTTAAGGAAGAGGTGAGACAGGTCTACAATCTGGCAATTACTGGTGCCGTCAGTATTGGAACTCTGCTTGCTGCAGAAAATGGGGACGGAGTGCCTGTGGGAGTGTTCTGAGTGCTGTGATGTCTATTCAGCATTCAAAGTTGGGAAGTCTGACTTACCTGCTTTTGCCCATGCTGAAGATAGATACATTTTTTAGTAGCTCACAGATTGCAGATATGTTTGGAGACATTGACTAGTTTGTTCTTCTCACATGTGACTTGCAGATATATTTGAAGACATTGACTAGTTTGTTCTTCTCACATGTGACTTGCAGATATGTTTGGAGACATTGACTAGTTTGTTCTTCTCACATGTGACTTGCAGATATATTTGAAGACATTGACTAGTTTGTTCTTCTCACATGTGACTTGCAGATATGTTTGGAGACATTGACTAGTTTGTTCTTCTCACATGTGACTTGCAGATATGTTTGAAGACATTGACTAGTTTGTTCTTCTTAAATGTGACTTGCAGATATGTTTGAAGACATTGACTAGTTTGTTCTTCTCACATGTGACTTGCAGATATGTTTGAAGACATTGACTAGTTTGTTCTTCTCACATGTGACTTGCAGATATGTTTGAAGACATTGACTAGTTTGTTCTTCTCACATGTGACTTGCAGATATGTTTGAAGACATTGACTAGTTTGTTCTTCTCACATGTGACTTGCAGATATGTTTGAAGACATTGACTAGTTTGTTTTTCTCACATGTGACTTGCAGATATGTTTGAAGACATTGACTAGTTTGTTCTTCTCACATGTGACTTGCAGATATGTTTGAAGACATTGACTAGTTTGTTCTTCTCACATGTGACTTGCAGATATGTTTGAAGACATTGACTAGTTTGTTTTTCTCACATGTGACTTGCAGATATGTTTGAAGACATTGACTAGTTTATTCTTCTCACATGTCTTGCAGATATGTTTGGAGACATTGACTAGTTTGTTCTTCTCACATGTGACTTGCAGATATGTTTGGAGACATTGACTAGTTTGTTCTTCTCACATGTGACTTGCAGATATGTTTGGATACATTGACTAGTTTGTTCTTCTCACATGTGACTTGCAGATATGTTTGGATACATTGACTAGTTTGTTCTTCTCACATGTGACTTGCAGATATGTTTGAAGACATTGACTAGTTTGTTTTTCTCACATGTGACTTGCGGATATGTTTGGATACATTGACTAGTTTGTTCTTCTCACATGTGACTTGCAGATTTGTTTGGATACATTGACTAGTTTGTTCTTCTCACATGTGACTTGCAGATATGTTTGAAGACATTGACTAGTTTGTTCTTCTCACATGTGACTACTCTTTTAAGTTATAGGGGATGAGATTCTTAAGGGTCAAACTTTAGACACAAACTCCAACTTCATTTGCAAGAAGCTGTTTTCTCTGGGAGTGAAAGTTCAAAAGGTTTGTAAATTGATATTAATTTTTTATCTTTTATGAAGTATCACATGAAATATTTGTTGTTAATGTTGTCTCTGGCTTAGGCGTTTCAAATGCGCTTCGTAATGTCGGGGTGCCGGGTTTGATCCCCGCTGCGGGCAGTTTGTCTTGCGATGGTTTCGACCGTGGTACTGAGAGCCAACTGTCCAGAAAGCAATGGCAAACTACTAGATGTAAACATTTGCCTATTAAAACCACAACAGCTAAAAAATACTGTTCTTGGTTCTGCATCATCCTGTAAAGGATAAGCAACCAACCTTTTTGTCTTATACATGTGTGTTTAAAAGATGGAACCAAATGAGGAATCAACTGTGAACCATATGTTATTTGTTGTAGCACATTTAATGTCCAGAAGCATCCCTTATTTGTTAGCTAGGGATATTTTGTCATTGAATAAACTCGTTTTATAAATAATATCTAGTGTACCTTCACTGAAGTGCCCTATCAAACACAGCCTTGTCGCACTAGCATTCTAGAACTTCCAGAATATCTGTGAAGGTTACCTTTCAACCTTGTTAATGCATTTGAGGTGTACTACTAGGTGACGCTATTGAGATGCAATTAGGGAATTCCACGATGAAAACATTGATATTAAGGATGATAAGTAAAACAACCGCACAGCAAATATAGCAGAGTGATCTTTCTGACTGATGCTACGTCAGTTCTACAAGCAATTGTTTACCCAAAAAAACACTCAGTTTGTGGACTTGACGCAACAGCTGATTTATATAGGCTCTTCAGTAGAACAATCTGTACTACAGTGGATTCCAGGTCACTGTGGCTTGGAAGGCAATGAAATAACAGACAGATTGTCCAGAAGCGGTAGTGAAATGGTACAACCAAATAGCAACTTAACCCTCCAAGAGCGAAACAATACAATCTAGTATCCAAGAAAGGTGACTGGATATACACACACCAGATTTTTTTCTCAAGACTGGCTTCATCGTCTCTCTAGAAAGGGACAGTGTATTATATTCAGACTAAGGACTGGGCACAACAGACTTCTTCAACATATGTTCAAATTTTTTGGTGTAGGAAACGCGGAGACGTGTCCCTTCAGCGTGGCACCCGAAAATCCTCCTGAGCCTGTTCCAACCACAATGAAGACAAAGCTGTATGGTACACAAGAGGATATGAACTGCACGATAGCTTTTATGATGGCTACCGGCCTCCTGATATAAGTTTTCTGACAGAAGGATCAAAGAAGAAGAAGTAGTATGCAAACTTACTAGAAGCACTTAGTAGAAGAACAACATTAGGCTATCCTTCGAATAACGGTCCCAAATTATCGAGGCCGAAAATATACCCTAACAGGGCCTCAGTCACGTGTCAATTGCGGACTTCCGGAGATTATACCCCCACCGCCGAATTGCGGACTTAGGGGACTATACCGCCACTGCCAAGAGTATCTCCCATGCCGCTACACGCTGCGTGGATTTGGGCAAAACTAGATGGCTGGGACTCATGAGCAGCAGCTACCACATCTCCTGCAGCTTCCTTCGTTTTATTTGCTCATGAGTCCCAGCCTCTAGTTTAGCCCCAATCCACGTCGCGCGTAGCGGCGTGAGAGAAATTCTCGGTGGTGGTGGTATAGTCCCCGGAAGTCTGCAATTCGTCTGTGGCGGTATAGTCCGCAATTGACACGTGACTGAGGCCCTGTTATATATTTTCGGCCTCGATAATTTGGGACCGTTATTCAGATTATAGCCAAAAGATCTCTTCTTTTGCCTTTCAATCTCCCAATGGAGCATAGGCCCTAAACCAACTCACGCCAAGTCAATCTACCCTTCACTATGTGTTTTTTGGCCTTCATTTATTCCTATGCTTCTGTGGGTTCCAATGCAAAGACATTCTAGTTATGCTGTTCTCCGGTTTTTCTCACTGTGTGTCCTATCCAACACCAACCTCTTTTCCTCACCTCTTGGTCCACTGGAGCTTGCTTAGTTCTCTCCCAAAGCTCTACATTAGTTATTCTAGCATACCATTTAAATCCCTCTATTCTGCGCAGGCACCAGTTAATGAATGTCTGTAATTTATTAGTAGTTGCCTTAGTTGCCCAATAAAAAGTACTGATTTGACATAATTAAATAATTTAAGTTTAGTATTTCTTTTAATTTCTTTTAGCCTCCACAAATTCCCTAGTGCCATGAAAGCTCCTCTTGCCTTTTATATTCTTATTTTAATGTCTCTATCAGTTCCCCCATCTTTATCTACATTACTGTCCAAATATGTGTACATGTTTTGGAGTGGGGTGCCATTAAGTGAAATCACATTACTGCCTGATTTATTCTCATTATCTTTGTCTTTCCTTTATGGATTTTCATACCTAGCTGCTGTGATCTCGCATCAAGTATATTCAATTTGTCTTGCATCTGATTCAGTGAATGGGACAGAAGAGTAATATGGTCAGCAAAGTCCAGATCATCAAGCTGTTTTGTAGGGGTCCACTGAATTCCATTCTTTGTGTTAGCAGTTACTGTCTTTGTAATCCAGTCTATAGCCAGTAAAAATAGAAGAGGCGACGAAAGACATCCCTGTCGCACACCTGTTTTTTTTTCCAAATGTGTCTGTTAGCTTTCTCTCATGGAGAACTCTTTTTCATAGTCTATGAATCCAATGTAAAGTGCTAAGTTCAGTTCAATGCTTTGCTCTATTATAATACGTAATGTGGCTATCTGGTTAGTATAGGATCTGTTTGGCCGAAAACCTACCTGTTCATCTCTTAGCTTTTTTCAATAGCATCTTTTAACCTTTCCAGAATAATTCGACTTAATTCCAGGAACTGACAGCAACATAATTCCTCTATAGTTTTCACACTCCTGTGGATCACCTTTTTTTGGGGTTTCACAAGATACCTTTCACTCCAGTCTTCTGGTATTTCTTCGGTCTCCCAGACTTTACTAACTAATCTATATAGCAATTCCGTTGATGTGTTTATGTTAACCCTAATGGCTTCTGCTGGGATACCATCTAGACCTGCCACCTTTCTTTTCTTGAGAAGATTATTGCTTTTCTAATTTCCTCTTTAGATGATATCTCACAGTTGATATCCAGTTCCATTTCTAAACCCTGGATGTCTGGAGGAAGCTCTGGACCTTGGCTGTTTAGATGTATTTCAAAATATTTAACACACCTGTCCATTTGATCTTTAGTGTTAGTAAATAACCTTTCCTTGACTATTTTTATTGATCCAGTTGGCTGACTATATTTACCTACTAATTTTCTTGTGCTACTGTAAAGTTCTCTGAGGTTTACTTTTGCTGCTGCTGTCTCCGCTTCTTGTGCTAAATCATTTAGATATTTCACTTTATCTGCCCTTATACGCCTCCTGCCTTATTTGCTTCTGTGTACTTAACCCGAGCTCTAGCTTTAGCAGCTCTAGTTTTTCTATTGTTTCTATCTTAAATCAGTTTTATTGTTTCTGGTGTTATCCATCCTTTATGTTTCTGTTCTTTCTTGCCAAGAACTTCTACACAAGATGTTGCAAATAAATACATCATCTCTGTTGATGAAACATTAAAAAAAAAAAGGGGCAGCAACTAAGTGAGGGAATGAGTGACGCTCAACCCCACCGGACCCCACAATGAGCGATTAACACCCGCTGACATAAAGTGCCACCATTTAGATTAGAGTCACCCAGACGTATGTCCTAGAAACCTTGTTCAACCATTAGGTTATATTTATTGCCCCTGACGACAGCCAGGGTGGGGCTTTACAAAAATAAACAATTGCACCCCATATTGGGGTAGATTGTAAGCAGCAATGGCTGACTGACTTTCAACCCCACTGAGACCACACAATGAGAGTTAAACACACGGTGACACAAAGTGCCACCACTCTCATGAGAAATGCCTGCGCACAAGTCCAGAAACCTGGTTCACCCAAAGGTTATATTTAGGGCCTCCGACAACAGTCGGGGTGGGGCTTTGAAACAACAACAAATGCATTCCATAGTGGAACGCAGTTTGTGTAAGCAGCAACTGACTGACTGACGTTTAACAGCACCAGGACTGCAAAATGAGTGATAAACACCCGGTGACACAAAGTGTGACCATTAAGATGAGAATCACCTGGGCGCAAGTCTCAGAAACCGTGTTTCATCGACAGCTATGGTAGGACTTTAAACAAAAATCGTGTCCTATGTTGGGATGGTTAAAAGTAAAGCATCAACTAGGTATGTAGCTAGGTAAGTTGTACCCCACCAGGACATCACACAAGCGATAAACACAGAGTGACAGAAAGTGCCATCATGCGGATGAGGATAACCCGTGGAGAGGTCCTAGAAACCCTGTTCAGCCGCTAGGCCATATTTATTGGCTGGCTTTTTTTAGGGGCCCCACTCCATGCCATGATGTCAAACTGTCCAGCATCTTTTCTCTCAGTCTCCCTCTGCCTCTCTCCTCCCTTCCAACTTTCCTACTGTCATGATGTACTCCAGCTTTCTCATTTTCATGACATGACCAAAGAATATAGACTGTCTCTTTGTGATGTGGGCAGTTGAGAAGGCATCTTCTTTACTTTTTTAGAAAAAAAAAATCTGTCTAGGTTTTTTTTCATAATTAATCTATAAAACCACATCTCTGCAGCTTCCAATTAACTTTTCACTGTTATGTATGTACATAAGTAAAACCATTCATATGCCTTAAGATGTATTGGGTATTTAGTGCAAATTCCATATATTAATGAAACAATCAACATTCATTAAATGATGTGAACATCAGTTACCTTTACTTCCCATGACATTTCCTTGTACTTATTTTTAGACTGGATTGACCTTAAAACTCAGGTCCATTAACTAAATCCTTGCCTTGATGGGAATTCGGTCATCAGGATCATCAGGCTGATGGGCCAGTATGTTGGTCACTCAGCTACTTTTGCTATAGTTTATTGTATAAATAATTCACCATTTTCATCTTATTTCAGAAATGTACTATTTTTTATCAATGTTTTATAGATTTCTGTGATATGTGATGATGTGGATATCATAGCAGAAGAGGTGACACAGTTTTCCCAAAAATTTACTCACGTCATTACCTCTGGAGGTATAGGACCCACACATGATGATATGACATTTGAGGGTATGTTAGTAATATTTATACATATCATCACTTTCAATAATGTGGATTTAAACAAAACATTGCATATAGGACTCACAAACGATATGACATTTGAGGGTATGTTAGTAATATTTATACATATCAGTTTTATTAATGTGGATTTAAACAATACATTGCATATAGAACCCACACATGATGATATGACATTTGAGGGTATGTTAGTAATATTTATACATATCATCAGTTTCAATAATGTGGATTTAAACAAAACATTGCATATAGGACTCACATACGATATGACATTTAAGGGTATGTTAGTAATATTTATACATATCAGTTTTATTAATGTGGATTTAAACAATACATTGCATAAAGGACCCACACATGATGATATGACATTTGAGGGTATGTTAGTAATATTTATACATCTCATCAGTTTCAATAATGTGGATTTAAACAATACATTGCACAATTTACTGCTGGGGATATTTCACTCATCTTAACAGGTACTGTTCATCATCATCATCGAATGCCTTGCCAGCTGGCGTTGGAGTTCATGCATCTGCACAGATTTTGGTCTTTGATGTTCCGGATCAATTCTGCTGATGATATTCCTCCATGCCACTGTCTTAAGCCATCCACCATCATTTCTCTTGGTCTGCGTCTGCCTTTTCTACCAGTGATCTTTCCAGTCGTCACGATATTTTCCAGTGCTCCTTTTCTCATCACATGACTAAAGAACTTTGTCTCCTTTTCATTGTTATATATAATGTTCTACTTTCATTAGCCTTTTCCAGGCAATCATTGTTAGTTATTCTGGCAGTCCAAGGTATTCACAATATTTCTTTCAAGAATCCAATCTCATTTGCCACCAAACTCTTCTTAATTTGTTTGCTCACATTCCAAGATTCACTGCCATACAACTGAAGAGGCTGGAAATAACGTTTCAGCACACATTTTCTGATTTTTAATTAGAGTGATTCATTACATAAGATATTTTTCATCTTCTGAAATCTTGCCTTTACCTGGCCAATTCTGCTCTTAATTTCTGTTACACATAATTCATCTGATGTTATGAATTTCCTCAGATACTTGAATGTATTGACTTGGTTAAGCACCTTCCCTTCTATTGCTATGTCACATTTTGGAGTTATCTTCTTTGATATAACCATTGCTTCTGTTTTCTTGACATTCAAGGAAAGTCCCTTTCTTGCACTCTCTGGTAGAACAATGGGTAATAGTTGTTGTAGGTCTTCTAAATTTTCAGCTATTAATACTTATCATCTGCATAAGAAGACTGTTTATATTATAACCTCTAGCTAGTATTCCTGGTCTGTTCTTGACCTTTCTCATTATTATTTTCCAGGGTGGTAAAATGGGGCTTTTCCCATTTCCAGAGCGTGTTGCAAAAGGGTGCGCGCTTCTCATCTCTTTTTTTTGATACGTGTGTTTGCCGTGCTTTGTTGCAGTCTTCATTGGTGTTTGTCGCCGCATCCGTCTTGTTTCAGTTGCCATGAATTTCCTGCAGTTGGTAGCATCTGTGCCTGACAAAGAGACTAGCGTTGCCTTCCTGCAACAGCGTGGCATTCTTCACAGCACAAGACGTAGAAACAACCATGAGATGGTGTTATCGCTGTCGGAAAGACACAACTGTTGGCAGTGTATAAAGTCCACCTGTCGTCTGGACATACCATTACGGCAAGGGACATCGCTGGAAAGGTCACGGCTACCATACAGACAGATCATTCTGTTTATATACTGCTGGTCTTACGAGATGACAAGCATTTAATTTTGCCAAGTAAAGCTGGGCATGAAGCAGACTACAAATGTGGATTGGAGCAACTACATACGGGAGGTTTGTGCCAATACATTATTATTGAATCCTGCAGTGATCGGGGAGAGAACATAACTGTTGAAATTGATGAAAGTCTGCAAGACGAAAAAATCATGTGGGACGTGTGTTTCCACAACAGTGGGTGTTTGGTGGAGTCTGTCGGGAGACGAGCGAATGCTTTATGTTCTGCGTTCCAGACAGAAAAGCAGAGACGCTTCTGCTGATCATTAGCATAAACATCAGACCCGGCACAACAGTAGTTTCCGACATGTGGTGTGCGTACAATGGAATTGAGAAAATTCCAGAATTGACGCATCTTATCATCAATCACTCCATTAATTTAGTTGACCTCACCACAGATGTGCTTACGCAATACATCAAACGTTTGTGGCGGTCGGCAGATGTAGAGAAACAAGCGCCAGAATGGAACCCACATACATTTATTAGAATCTTGCATGTGTGAGTTTCTGTTGCGTAGACGCGCTTAACATGCAGGTCGCGATGTGTTTGCGATCATTCTGGCAGACATTGTTAGATTCGGGCCGCCACAAGACCACTAGTCCGTTGTCTCAGCTGCTGCTGCCACCACCGCAGTCCCACCCCTGTCTAGGTCGCGCTTAACATGCAGGTCGCGATGTGTTTGCGATCATTCTGGCAGACATTGTTAGATTCAGGCCGCCACAAGACCACTAGTCCGTTGTCTCAGCTGCTGCTGCCACCACCGCAGTCCCACCCCTGTCTAGGTATTTAAATGTGTGAAATTGCTGGGATTTTCAATTTGTGAGTGAACCCAGCAGTATACATGTATAATGATTGGTCCTTTTTAGGGCACCTCACAGTACCCCAATTGGCAATTTCTGCGATTGTAAATAGAGTTCGCGTAGCCAAAATTTACAATTTACATTAAAAAAAAAAAAGTAACATGGTGTGATACCAATTACACTACACATTAAAATGACAAAAACATCTTAAAACATGACCAGTATTGTAAACTAGCCGATTGAACATCAACAGATAGAACAAAGCAGCCGAATTTGAATTTTAGTTTTTGTATTGTATCTGTTTTTCACAATCACTCTGTATTGTTCTTGAATTTCTCAATTCACCTGTAGGATATCTGTATTGAGTTTCATATTTTTAATCTCTTTCTTTCCACTCTTCAATCGGACTTTAACTTGTCCACGAAGTGGGATGTTATTACTCAGCACCAGGCATTATCTTCACATTTATTAATCATCATCATCAGGTGCCTTGCCGACTGGTGTGAGCGATCATGTCTCTCCATAATCCACGATTCCTGCAGCATGTATCAGTTCGTGTGCCAACACACCTCCATGCCATGCAACAAGACTGTCAAGAATCTTCTCTCGTTGTCTTCCTCTATCCCTCCTTCCACAGATCTTTCCAGTCGTCACAACATGTTCTATTTTCCCTCTTCTCATAACATCATTTATTATTGCATTTCTCAAACTTTTTAAAAATCATTATTTAGTCAGTTTGGTTGAAAGTTTATTATCAGGGCTTTTCCATGTGTAAAATCGTCTCTTATGCTGTTTATACCAGGTGTTTCCAATCATCATATCATTTGCTTTTGCCCATTCTGTTAGTGTTTCTCCTCTGAGTGTTTCTCCTCTGTCATTTTTCCTACCTAAACCATAATCACCAACTATGTCTTCCATTCTTTCTTTTCCTACCTTCGCGTTGAAATGTTCAATTATTATTTTCATTTCTTGTGATTTGGTTAGCGATAATGCTCTTTTGATATTATAAAATCTGTTTAGTAGGTCTTTTTCATTGCTTTCTGTGGTTGGTGCATATACTTGTATGATGTTTATGTGTACTGGCTTGCCTTTAAGTTTAACCAGGATGACTGTCTGATATACTCCAATATTCTTCAGTTGATTTAGCTGTTATTTCATCAAACAATAGTCCTACTCCTCTTTCATGTTTCTCACCACCTGAATATATTATTGTATTTTTGTCAATATTTTTTTTTTTTTTACTAGATCCTTTTCATCTCATCTTAATAGTTTCTCTTTTTCATTTTCTGTAAGACATTATCTATCTTCCTTAATTCTGCTAATTTTTTATTTTATATTTAAAAGAAATATATATTAGATATCAGTTTTATACCTTTCTATGCTAATTTTTGAACATTCCAGGTTCCTATTCTGTATCTGTTAATTTTGCCCTCAATTGCTGATGATGATCTGTTGTCACCTGTGGGTCATGACGATCTGTTGTCACCTGTGGGTCATAACGATCTGTTGTCACCTGTGGGTCATGACGATCTGCCGTGGGTCATGACGATCTGTTGTCACCTGTGGGTCATGACGATCTGTTGTCACCTGTGGGTCATGACGATCTGCCGTGGGTCATGACGATCTGTTGTCACCTGTGGGTCATGATGATCTGTTGTCACCTGTGGGTCATGACAATCTGTTGTCACCTGTGGGTCATGACAATCTGTTGTCACCTGTGGGTCATGACGATCTGCCGTGGGTCATGACAATCTGTTGTCACCTGTAGGTCATGACGATCTGTTGTCACCTGTGGGTCATGATGATCTGTTGTCACCTGTGGGTCATGACGATCTGTTGTCACCTGTGGGTCATGACAATCTGTTGTCACCTGTGGGTCATGACGATCTGTTGTCACCTGTAGGTCATGACGATCTGTTGTCACCTGTGGGTCATGACGATCTGTTGTCACCTTTGACAGTCCCTACCAGATGAGGCTTTCCGAAGACATCCATTAATGTCATTCACTGAATTAAAACTGTGACTCATGAATTCTTGGGAAGATAATGTGGTGGTTTCCCGTTGCATTCCACATCCACATGAGGATCTTTTACCTCTACCTTTGATAGTAATTTCCAACTATCAGGACAAGTGATTGCCCTGCTTTGCTCAGCTGCAGAGTTGTCCACTTATGCCGATGGGTACTTGGTTTCCATAGCTGTGTTTGCCACACCCACACCGGCATTGTTTAAATTCATGACGGGAAAACATAATTTTGACCATCGTAAATTAATTATTTGTATTGAAAGTCATAGTCATGTACTTTTTGAAATAAATTCACTTTATAACTTGTAGCATATGTTCTTACTCGCCAGAATGGCAGACTTTGGAATTAAGATCGACATAGCAAAAAACTAGATGCACACCCGACACACCAGAAGACTTGTTAATCAACATAGAACTGGTACTATTAGCCAACGGACGTTGGGGTTCATACTGAGGGGAAGATCTGAGCACCTCCGGAGTGCAATAATAACCCAACTAACTAACTAACTGTAACTAACATATGTTCTTACGAACAATTATAGTATATCAGCTGCTATGCTAAAATAATTTAAACATACTATTTAAAAAAACCACACACACACAAAAGCTAATAATTTTTATGAATAAATTTTCTAAATTAGTTAACCTGTCTCTGAAGTATTCATGTTTTCTTTGTCTAAGGTGTGGCTAAAGCATTTGGACTGCAAACACAGCACCACCCCAAACTTGTTGAGTTGATCACAGACTGGTTTCATATATCAGACTTGAATTCAGCAGAAATGAAGATGGCAAAAGTAAGATTATGTTGCTAAGCAATGTTCAGATTAATTGCAGCAGATTCCTGAAAGTCTACTGTTTGGTGTCAGACTGTTTATGCGCAGCAGATTCCTGAAAGTCTACTGTTTGGTGTCAGACTGTGCGCAGCAGATTCCTGAAAGTCTGCTGTTTGGTGTCAGACTGTGCACAGCAGATTCCTGAAAGTCTACTGTTTGGTGTCAGACTGTGCTCAGCAGATTCCTGAAAGTCTACTGTTTGGTGTCAGACTGTTTATGGGCAGCAGATTCCTGAAAGTCTGCTGTTTGGTGTCATACCGTTTGTGTTATCATAAAATAAAAATAAAAAAATTCTATTTCATGTCCACCACTCCCCCCTCCCTCACACACATATTAAATATATGTGTACTTTTAAAAACCATTTGCCATCACCCCCGCCCCCTTTTCCCCCCTTTCCCCCCCTTCCACAGTGATGACACATGGGGGGGGGGGGGGGGGAGATGGGGGGGCTTTGCACCACTTCCTGCTACCTTCTTCCCTATATATTTCATCTTATTTCTTTCTTTCCCTATCTCAGTCCCCACTTTCATTTCGTAATCTTTATTCTCTGTCTCTGCTCTCTCTGTCTCTCTCTCTCTCTTTTTCTCTCTCTCTCACTGTTCTCACATCCTGTGTCTCACTTAATCTTACTATTTCAGCCTTCTACACCACCTTCCATCACCTCCTCTCCCCTCTCCTTTCTGTAATTGAAAAATCAGAAAAAAAAAAAAAAAACGAAGTCCACTGGTGCCCTGACCTATTTATTTTTTGGGTATCCTGCTCTATTTTCCATAAGTGGTTGGTTGGGATCTCTCCCCCCCCCCCCCACCCCCAATGCTTTAAAAAAAAACTATAGAGAAATAAGAGAGTCACCGTGGCTGAGCGGCTAGACGCTTGCCGTGGATCGGAAGGTCATGGGTTCGCTCCCTGGCGGAGCCAGACTTTTTTCAAAAATGACCTTAGCTCCCAGGTCGACCCAGCCTTGAGTGGGTACTGGGTGCAGTCCCGGAAAAGTAAAGGTGGCCGACGTTATACTGACCACATCACCCATCTTGTGCCGATTGGTCTATAAAAATATAGGTCTAGCCCTATATGCCCTATATGCCCTATACGCCTTAAGGCGTGGAAAGGGTCCTTTACTTTTTTTTTTTTTAAATAAATAAATTTAAAAAAAAATTGACTTTTGACCTGTGCAAAATGGTTGTTTTATTTAAGGATTTGTTTCTGTGGAAACAACCATGGGTTCTTAACACATTATTTAGTGTTCCTGTGGCGAAAGAATTAATTTTTAATGGTCATTTGGGGTCCCATTATGAGTCATCATATAAATATTTTTAGGCATTGTCAAATGTATTGTGTTTAATTCTCTGCTCCGTACATCTTTATGGATTACTCAGTTCTAAAAAAAAATTAAAGAATGTAGATGAATAGTTTTTAACAAAAATGTTTTAGTGACACGTGTAAAATTCTTGTTATGGAAGTCCTGGGTTTCTCCCCCCCACACCCCTCCCTTTCCCTGGAGTAAAAGGGTTAAAAACAGCAAGAAACCAATTAGTTTCTAGAGCAACTAAGAGGATAAGGAAAAAACTCCATATTTAATTTATTTTATTTCACATGAACAGATTCCTGAAGGTGCAAAGCTCAGCTTTGGAATTGATCCTAAAACCAAGCAGGAATCCAAATACCCTCTGGTATCAGTGAGAAATGTACACATGTTTCCTGGAGTGCCAAGTCTTTTGGAAAAAGCATTTATAATGCTGGGGGTAAGCTAATTGCCATTCAGTACCATGATCTGGTATGTTCAGTTGCATTAACAATAGTGATACTTCAGAGACAGAGAGAGAGAGAGAGAAAGAGAGAGAGAGAGTGTGTGTGTGTGCGTGCACATGGGGTTGGGTAGGTGGGTGTGCGAGGGTAAGCTAATTGCCATTCAGAACTGTGATCTGGTATCTTCAGCTGCATTAACAATAGTGATACTTCAGAAAGAGACAGATAGAGAGAGAGAGAGAAAGAGAGAGAGTGAGAGTGTGTGTGTGTGTGTGCGCGCACGTGCATGGGGGTGGGTGGGTGTGAGCACCCACATTGGGCTGGGTGGGTGTGCGCGCAAAATTTTCTGACTTTGAATAGGACACATTGTGAAAACCTGAAAATTGTATAACTGCTCGACTGAACAAGGGGTGAGCAGTTGAGGGGGGGGGGGGGGGGGGGGGGGGGGTAGATGCGCTGTGGGGAAAAGGAAGGAGACTTAATAAAACTTGGAAACGAAAATGACAGAAATAAATAATATAAGGGGGACGTGGCAGATGAAGAGGATTCTGTGTAAGTAATCTTTTTTCACGGAAGTCATTAAATGAATTATTAGAGATGATTCTGTGTGTTGGAAAGGGTTTGTTCCCATGAATCCATCTCAGTATCTGTATCATTCATGTCCCGCTTGTACACATCTCAGAATTGTAATAGAGGCCACCCTCAACATCTTCTATTCATCTGTAATCCTTTGGGGCTCCACTATCTTCTGTCCAAGTATGACCTAGCCGTCTGAGCCTTTGCAGACTCAGCATTGAGGGAACTGTTGTAATACCTGATGTTTCCGATACTTCAGTATTTGTGGTCTTGTCTTGCCACTTAATGCCTAGTATTCTTCTCAGGCGTCACTTGTGAAAGCTATTTAGCAGTTTCTCCTGGTGTGACTAAGTTGACCAAGTTTTCACTGCCATAAAGCAGAGTGCTGAGAACACAAGCCTGATAGACAAGAATTTTTGTTTTAATCATCAGCTTGAATTGAGAATGAATGAATACCCCACCCACTTGATCTCAAAAGGCATATTTAAAATGGAGTAAGTATGTTTCAAAGAGGATAGGAACAAGTATACATCCTTGTATCATTATATTCTTGATTAGAAACTCTCTCCACCTCCCAGTATTATTCTATCCAAATTATTGTGCCTTTCATACCTGTGTGGAACGAATCAGTGATGCTCAGTAGAGTATGTGGACACCCAGTCTTCTGAGTATCTTGACCAGACCTTCACGACTAACCAAATGTCATCTATAATTTTTTTCATGGTCTTTAAAGATTGTAGATGGACTTGAACATCCCTAAGGTTATGATCATGTGTGTAGGCCACTAGAGAAAGTTCGGAGAAAAATTGTGCTGGTGGTGGGTTAGTCTGTAGGCTGGAGAGGTGCATGAGGAGAATGTTTTTGTCGTGGATGTTGTCAAGGTGCTAGGTAAGTGGGAGGATAAGTCTGTTGTGATGTTTAGGCTTGGAGAGGAGGGTGTGGGTATGGCTGATCGATGGTGAGCGGTGAAAGGCAACGTTCATGGTAGCTTTGAAGCCTGAAGAAATCCATGGCTCTAAGGTGGAAGTTGTCATTTTTCTGACAGTCTGTGGAAGTTGGGAGAAAGGAATAGGTCCTTGCAGGAAGAAGGATGGAAGGATATATATTGGAGAAAAGCATAGGACTCAGGTGGCTTGTAGTATACTAAGGTACTGGGGCCTTAAAAAAACAACAACAAGATAACAGTGAGATTTGAGAAATGCGCAAATGACGGCGAGATGCAGTTATATGCTGGGGTGGAAATTGGAGAGAAAAATTGATGATGTTATGCAGTTTAAATAAGGGCATACCGGAGACACCGCTGTAGTCATCCATATGTCCCCTGAAGAGCTCCTAGAGACTGCCAGTGTAATGATGAAATACGAAAATAAAGTTGAAGTCCACCCCTCCTCCTCCTCCTCCAAAAAAAAAAAAAAAAAGAACCACAACTCCTCAAATTCATCGTATGGACCAGCGGGTCATTGCAAACATAAGAAGCACTAAAGCATTGTTTCAAAGTCACTTTTTATTTACTATTTATACTTAGGGGATTCTGGAAAATAATATTTCCTTAACCAACTCCATTTTGTAAGCATCCTTGACAAAGCTTGGGTGAAAGAGACTTACAGGACAGTGAACTAGAATTATGGACAGACTGTCTAGCAGACAATGACGCTGACGGTTCAAGGAGTCTGTTAACAGCTGTTCTTGATGCTCTGTTAACAGCTGTTCTTGATGCTCTGTTAACAGCTGTTCTTGATGCTCTGTTAACAGCTGTTCTTGATGCTCTGTTAACAGCTGTTCTTGATGCTCTGTTGTTAACAGCTGTTCTTGATGCTCTGTTAACAGCTGTTCTTGATGCTCTGTTGTTAACAGCTGTTCTTGATGCTCTGTTGTTAACAGCTGTTCTTGATGCTCTGTTAACAGCTGTTCTTGATGCTCTGTTGTTAACAGCTGTTCTTGATGCTCTGTTAACAGCTGTTCTTGATGCTCTGTTAACAGCTGTTCTTAATGCTCTGTTAACAGCTGTTCTTGATGCTCTGTTAACAGCTGTTCTTGATGCTCTGTTAACAGCTGTTCTTAATTCTCTGTTAACAGCTGTTCTTAATGCTCTGTTAACAGCTATTCTTGATGCTCTGTTAACAGCTGTTCTTGATGCTCTTTTAACAGCTGTTCTTGATGCTCTGTTAACAGCTGTTCTTAATGCTCTGTTAACAGTTGTTCTTGATGCTCTGTTAACAGCTGTTCTTGATGCTCTGTTAACAGCTGTTCTTAAGGCTCTGTTAACAGCTGTTCTTGAGGCTCTGTTAACAGCTGTTCTTAATGCTCTGTTAACAGCTGTTCTTGATGCTCTGTTAACAGCTGTTCTTGATGCTCTGTTAACAGCTGTTCTTGATGCTCTGTGACTGAACAAAATACACTGGCTTGAAAGTGGACAGTGCTTATGTGGAGGATTTAGTGGAGGCTGATGGGAGTGAGCTTAACACTGAGGAAGTGGAACATCTTCAGAAGAAGCACAACAACAGTATGGTGGTGGAGGAAATGTCTTCAAGGACAGAGGAAAGAAGAGAGGATGTTTCTAGTTGTTTGATCAACAAAATTTGTTGGAAATTGGGTGGAGAAATTTTTGGGGAAAAAAGGAGGCAAAAACACTGGTGCATGCCAGGTTGCTGAGGGAATTACAAAAGACAGTTAAGTCCATACTAGAGACAACACTGCAGCTATAAATATGCTATTTCAAGCGAACAAAAGAAGAAGAAGACAAAGAAGAGAACATCCTATAGGATAGGTTTTTAGTGAGATACAGGCCAAGTCAGTTTAAAGCAGTCGAGTGGTGCCAAGAGACAGACAGTAAGACATACAAAAGTTTCAGAAACAAGTTACCTGGTATTTTTTTGGCAGATTCCATTTCCAAACAATAAGATATCTTTACCTAACCTTTCACATAAACTTTTACATTATGACACAAACAGTTGAGTTGAGTCAGGAATTGACATCACAGCACTCGGGGCATTCTCATGCCTGCTCCACCCTCATCTTCAGCAGCCAGTGCAGAGCTCCAATACTGATGATACCCGTCACAATCTGGTTATATGTCCATCTTGCTTTTCCTCTGAGCGCAGAGAGCCGGCATGACCCTCTGGTTACACCCAGGTGCCTCATTCTCTCCAAGGCAAAGTAATGACACAAACTTTCCTTCATAAACATAAGATAAATTAAAATTGTGGCGATTCTAAATCGGTTAATTTAGTTGTTTTGAAAGATTGTGTACACTTTCTTTGTTTTTCTACATGGTTTTATGTGTTTAGCAATGTTATAAAAGCTGAAATATATCAGCTGAAAATGGGTTCATTTTTTTTTAAACAGCTCAGTTCCTGTACAGCATTAAGAAACAGATTGTGTACAATAACTGAGATTCCAGTAAATATGTACCCCCCCTCCCCACACACACACACTCACACAGACAGATATATATACGTTATATATGCTACTATTGCGGAGTGGCTGCTTTCCTGCTTTCGCTTGAAATGTTTTTGACTTTCTGTCAAGGTGGGATATTTACAAATCACCAAAACAACCGGCTTATTTTGAGTGCCAGAAAGTGATTGTGACTGGTATAGTCCTAATCAGACCACCCATAAAGTGCTGATGCTTCTCCACTCTTTTTCTATGGCTGCCCCCCCTCACCCCTCCAGCCTCATAGATGATTAAAACCTTGGTCTCCTGCATAAGAGCCATGCGCTCTTAACCATTCGACCAGCCACTCCTCTAAGTGCTGATTGGTATATTTAAAATACAGAGCTAGCACCATATATTCAGTATGCCTGCATTTCTGGTCAAGAGTATTTTGCTGACTCTCATCATTAGTTTTTTGTGTCTGTTCAGTTTTCAGGCATTTAAAGAATGTTTATTACCAATTTCCTCAGCACCTTTTTCAGAATCCAAATGTCCAGTTTTACACTGATGATCTGTATGTGAACAAGGATGAAGCATCCATTGCAGCAAGCATTGCACATGTAGCAGAGAAGTACAAAGATACTGTTGCAATCGGATCTTATCCAGATCTTATAAACAGGTAGTATTTTTATAGTTAGCAAACTCTGATTTAATAACATGGTGTTACTTCTTAGCATGAAAATATTTCATTATTTTAAATAATGTTTCTGTATTTGTTTTACAAGCATTTATTTATTTGTAAATGTCACAATTTTTGTATAGTTAACTTCACAGATGTCAGAAATCTCAATTAAAAAAAAGTAAAGGACCCTTTTCCATGCCCTTAGGCGTATAGGGCATATAGGGCTAGACCTATATTTTATAGACCAATCGGCACTTGGTGGGTGAGGTGGTCAGCATCACACCGGCCGCCTCTACTTCCCGGGACTGCACCTGGTAGCCACTCAAGGCTGGCTCGACCTGGAGCCAAGGTCATTTCTGAACAAAGTCCGGCACCACCAGGGAGCGAATCCACGACCTTCCGATCCGCAGCGAGTGTCTAGCCGTTCCGTAACGGCGACTCCCAGAAATCTCAGTACTGAAGAGCAAACATACCAATTATCCTTCATCCTTTGATGCCAGGAAAATGTTTAAATCTTTGTGGTGAAATTTATACCCATTTTGCACCTTCGAAACTCCTCTGCTTGAGTTTGAGGTCTTGATGCTGCATGAGAATACCACCTTTAGATTGTCAGATCTATACAATCTTCTTTTTTGTCAGATCTATACAATCTTCTTTGTTGTCAGATCTATACAATCTTCCTTGTTTGGTAAATTTGTTATGTTAGTGACTTTAGAGCCGAGCAGTACCACAGGAGACTGCAGTTTCACTGGTATTGTTAAGTGTGTAGACAAGCAAGATTACAGAGCTTGAAGCAGCTGATGTAAGAAGGATATTGACATTAACACATGATGATGATTGCATATCGGCAGGGGAGTCGGAGACAACAGACAGCTCAGGAGCTGCGGTGCATAGAAATGAGTCTCCAAAATGTAGCTGTTTTACGGTAAATATTTAAAGAATATTTTAAGAAAAAGAATTTCTGTTTGCCCTTAAAATATTCTTTAAATGTTTTTAGGTTTATGTCAGAAGATGTTCATAAATGTGAGTAAGATCGACAGAGAAAGAGGGAGGTGAAAACATATTTTTTGCGACATAGTCTGAAGTATGTGAAACTGAGCATGATGAGGTGATAAAGGTAAAGGTAAAATCGGTAGATGTGAACCAGCCTCATTGCACACGGTTATAAACCATAAGTGCTCTGCCACCAGTACGGACAGCTGATAAGAATTGTCTGCCTGTGTCGCCGTTCGCACATAACTCTGTAGCTACAGCGACGTTCCTCCATTTACCCCAGAGTGTCAACACTGGTACCCATTTCCTAGAGGCTGGGTGAACCCCGGGAACCGCCTAGTTTCAAACACCGACTGTTTGCTGCAGCGAGTCGCAGCTGGATTTGAAAGCGAGCCTCTTATCGACTGTGCTAACGCAGATGTTTTTATCCATGAAAACATGGTTGTATTTGTCAAAGTTGTGCTATCATTTCAGCTATTACAAGGTCAAGCTGACTTTGGAGTCAATGAATGTCAAAAGTTTGCAAGAAGCGAGAAAAGAACTTTATGAAAGCATGCCTGCAGGTATGCATCTTTAAAAACTTTTTTTTCTTTTTTTTATAAATTAATAATCCAGAAGAATGCTATCTAAGTTAATCATAACTTACATGACACAGTAAGATCCTACTATTTGACATTAATATAGTGAGTAAGTCGGCTCTGTGGCTAAGTCGATGCGAAGGCTTCGTAATGCCGGGATGCCGAGTTTGATCCCAGTTGCGGGCCATGCACTTTGTGTTGGATTCGACAGTGGTATGAGGGTGCTGACTGTCCAGAAAGCAATGGCAAACGGCTAGACGTAAATTTGCCTAGTGAAACCACACAACAGCAAGGGGCTGCTGGGGTTGGTTCTGCAACGTCCTGGAAAGGGTGCTGATAGTGAGTAATGTTTTAATTGAGAGCGCCCCACCAAAATCCTAAAATGTTCATTAGTGAGAGAAACCAGGAGAGCTGGACTAGATTCCATCCATGATATTGAATTGATTGCATAGTAGAATGGAAAGGTGGAATATACTGCCAACCCTATGTGACATATAATGGCACAACAGGACAGTGATGATGATGAATGTTTTCATTATTAAAGCGATCAGAATACATAGTGGCCTGGTTGACGTATTACCAAGCACTGCCAGCTTCTACGTCTGTCATAAGGTGGCAGTATGATCACATTTAGCTAAACGGTCCAGCCTGTCGTGAACAAGTCTACAAAGTGTTTGGGCTCAGCTGAAGACCTATTCTCCACTGGGAGATAAAAGTCAAAACCCAAATATTGTGACACGAATGACATTTTTTTTTATCAAGGTAGAAACATGTCAGAATATTTATATTTAGAACTTTTTCATATTGTTTGATCTTTTCCTTCCACAGGAACTGTTATTACATACAATAAATAAAAGTAAGTAAAGATCCCTTTTAGCAGGCCTCGGAAATGAGATACCTGAGAAAGGTGGTCCAAGTGACAAGAAGGGACAAAGTCCGCAATCAGACAATACGTCAAGATCTTGATACCCAGCCCTTACTAACCCGAGTAGATCAGTCACAGCTACGATGGTTTGGACATGTATGCAGAATGGGAGAAAATCGGCCACCATGGCAAGCATGGGAGGCTAAGAACCAGGGAACCAGACCTCCGGGACGACCCAGGGTGCCCTGGGAAGACAACATCCGACAGTCCCTAACTGACAGAGGACTGGAATGGAACAAAGCCAGAAAGAAAACTGCTGATAGAGACGTCTGGCGATCTCTCTGGCAAACCTCTACACCCCAAGGTAGAAGAGGAGCGACTAAGTAAGTAAGTAAGTAAAGATCCCTTTTAACGCCTTAGGCGCATCAGGCACATGAGAAGAGTGTCCCATATTTTTACAGACCAATCGGCACTGGGTGGGTAATGTGGTCAGCGTTACGCCGGCCGTCTTTCTTCCCAGGACAGCCCATCCTGGTACCCATTTTAGGCTGGGTCGACCTGCGACGCCCCATACCATGATTAAAAATCTATGCAGCTAGCAGTGAGTTTCGATTGCGGTACGTTGGTATTACGAGTTAGACTCGCAACACCTAAGCCACGGGCGCCGCACATACAATACATGCAGCTCCATAAATATCAACTTACTTATAACTATTCTCCGCCCATATGGAAGTCTACGATCATTTTGTATAACGGATTTTTCATATTGTATTTGTTTCCTACAGGAACTGTTATTGATTGTGACAATATTATATTAACGGATTTTTCATATTGTATTATTACTCTCAGGTACTGTTATTGATTATGAAAATATTGTATTAACCGATTTTTCATACTGTATTTGTTACCTACAGGTACTGTTATTGATTATGATAATATTGTATTAACAGATTTTTCATACTGTATTTGTTACCAACAGGTACTGTTATTGATTATGATAATATTGTATAAACGGATTTTTCATACTGTATTTGTTACCTACAGGTACTGTTATTGATTATGATAATATTGTATTAACTGATTTTTCATATTGTATTTGTTACCTACAGGTACTGTTATTATGATAATATTGTATTAACGGATTTTTCATATTGTATTTGTGACCTTCAGGTACTGTTATTGATTATGATAATATTGTATTAACGGATTTTTCATATTGTATTTGTGACCTTCAGGTACTGTTATTGATTATGATAATATTGTATTAACTGATTTTTCATACTGTATTTGTTACCTTCAGGTACTGTTATTGATTATGATAATATTGTATTAACAGATTTTTCATACTGTATTTATTACCAACAGGTACTGTTATTGATTATGAAAAAGACCCAGTTGGCTCCGCTGTGGCACGAGTCTATACAATAGTTGATGACCCGGTTGCTGGTGACCCCTTCACAGTTTGTGTCAGAAATGCTGTTGCAACACTAGAACGTGCACTTGAAATGTATCAGTAAGAAAATGTTTGAATGTTTACCTGCTATTTTAAATCTGCATCAAATGACAGATATATTTCTCATAGTTATGGCAAACAATTATGTATGCAGTCAACAACACATAACCTGTAAACTAAGACTACTCAATCTTCAAGTGCTGATACAGAAAACTGGCTGTAACTGAGTTATGGGTTAAGAACTGACATCATAGCATTCAGACACCCCAAAAGGTGCTCTGTCCCAGTCTTTAGCTTTCTCAGTGACTCGATGAGTATGCTCAGGAAGATATTAAGAGAAGGGCGGGTCCGAAGGCAGTGGTTGGTGGCTCTATAGAATTCATGGATGACAAGGATTAGTTTCATTTCAGTGCCAGGATATTTGGGGGTAAAAGGAAATGAGCAAACTGATAGACTTGCAGGTAAGGCTACTGTTAAAGCGGAACAAGCCATGGACTAGGCTGATATACTGAATGCTCTAAGAGAGTTAAGACGTTTGGGTGGTGAACAAACTGAGAACTGTGAATCTGCAACCATGGTCAGACTGCAAGAACACTTATGGATTGAGTGGTTCGATGTGCAATGAGGATAATATGTCGACTAACAAGCTAACTAACTAACTAACTAACTAACTAACTAACTAACTAACTAACTAACTAACTAACTAACTAACTAAGTAACTAACTAACTAACTAACTAACTAACTAACTAACTAACTAACTAACTAACTAACTAACTAACTAACTAACTAACTAGCTAGCTAGCTAGCTAGCCAGCCAGCCAGCCAGCCAGCCAGCCAGCCAGCCAGCCAGCCAGCCAGCCAGCCAGCCAGCCAGCCAGCGAACGAACTAACTAACTAACTAACTAACTAACTAACTAACTAACTAACTAACTAACTAACTAACTAACTAACTAACTAACTAACTAACTAACTAGCTAACTAGCTAGCTAGCTAGCGAGCGAACGAGCGAGCGAGCTAGCTAGTTAACTAGCTAACTAGCTAGCTAACTAGCTAACTAGCTAACTAAAATAAACTAAACTAAACTAAACTAATCCAACCCAACCCAACCCAACTGCACCGCACCACACTACATGTAACTTAACTTAACTTTAACTTTAACCTAACTTAACTTAACTTAACTTAACTTAGCTTAGCTTAGCTTAGCTTAGCTTAGCTTAGATTAGCTTTAGCTCAGCTCGGCTCAGCTCAACTTAACTAAACTAAACTAAACTAGCATAGAACAGACCCTGCAAAGGCCGCAGCATGAATGGGAGGGAAAGGAACTCTTGCCATAAAGGCAAGTTTGTGAGAAGTTCCGAGAAAATTAGTAATAAAAAAAACATGAGATGTTTGAGAAGGGCTGCAGGAGTGACCAGAAAATATACAAATCAGGAATGTGATCATTAAAGAAAAAGCTGGCACACAACCAGTTCTAAGTTACCTACACAAAAGCAAAAATCTACTTAGAATATTGTGACACCATGCCATACAAGGCATTATTGAAAAAAAAAAAAAAAGGCATAGAGCATGAAGTAGACAAAGACAGAAAGATAACATCTACAAAAGCACAAGTGTCCATGATTGAGATGGCTAGAAGAGCAAAAAGCAGAAGCTTATATCTCCTTCAACACTAGAAGCGGTAGAAGAGGAAGCGAAGAAGTACACATTTGAAGTATTTATTAAAATAATTGAATATGAGCTTATTCTTTAGAGTCAGTCCACTGTTTTTCACAGATTGAATATTTTACGTTTACAAATTTTGTATTTCAGATTGTCAGAAATTTGTGTAGGTTTTAACGGAGGTAAAGACTGTACAGTTATGCTTCATCTGTGGTATGCAGTAGTGAAAAAGTGAGTTAAGCTTTTATTCAACTTTTCTTCTTCTTCGAGTCCATGCCGTATGGCATTGGTAGTCATGTCTATCCACAACTTTCTGTCTTGTATACTAATAACCAACTCTGACACAGATGATCTTCTGTGCCATGATGTCCAACTGTTCAGTATCTGTTCTCACATTCTCCTTCTGCCTCCCCTCCCCTCCAACTGTCCTACCGTCACGATGTACTCCAGTTTTCTCCTTCTCTTCACATGACCAAAGAATGTTGATCGTCTCTTTCTTATCCGGGCACTCCGTTCTCTTTGTGAGCCAGTTTATTTCAAGACGTCTTCATTACTCTTTTGATCTGTCTACGGTGTTCTCATCATTTGTCTATATTCAACTCCCTCATGGTATTTGTCATGCCAGAACTTTGACTTAAGTATTACCCATTCCTGATAAGCTGTTGAGTTCAAAGATTTCCCACATACTCTTTGTAGATGACAATACAGTCATCATCATCATTAGGTGCCCTGCTGACTGGCGTAGGTGTTCCACAGGTCTCGGTCCCTTATCCTCTAGATCAGTTCGATCAATGCCATCCCTCTGTGACACTGTTGCAGTCCATCTGTCATCATCTCTCTCAGTCTGTTTTTCTGTCTTCTACCATTGATCTCCCGACTCATCACAATATTCTCCAAAGCCTCCCCCCCCCCCCCAATCACATGACCAAAAAACAGTGCTTGTCTTTTCTTTATAGCTGTATATCATTATCGTCATAAACCACTTTTGCCGTTAAGCTTCGTGGGGAGGAATAATTTGCGATCCAGTGCACGTTGGCTGCCACTGGCTATTGTCATGCCATGAAGGCGTAGAGTGTGTTTTATGTTGTCGATCCATATTTTCCGCGGCCGTCCTCTTACTCTTGTAGCTGATCTTCTGAGATGTAGTGCTTGTGATGGTATATTATCTTGCTGTATATATTGATCTTTTTTTTAAAAATTAGCTTCTTTCAAGAAATCCTCATTAGAGACACTGGCATTCCAAGGGATTCCTAACATACGTCTGAGGAGCCACATCTCTGGGGCCTCCAAGTTCTTTCTAATTTGTGCAATCAATACCATAAGGCAGTATAGGTTCTACATAACATTTCAGTACTCTTTTTAGACTTCCAAAGAGCGGGACCTGTTGCACAAGATGTTCTTCATTCTGTGACATGCAGCCTTAGCCTGGCCTATTCTGCTTTTAATTTCTACCACATCTTTTGTCTGATGTTATGTTATTACGCAGATATTTGAATTTATCGACTTGGATCAACTTTTTACTTTCAATTCGAATATCACACTGTGCTAGTTTTCTTTTCTTTGATATAATTATGACTTCTCTTTTCTTTATATTCAAGGAGAGAACAGTTTTTGCTGTCTCTCTTACTACCAGTTAGTTGCGTATCCTTTACAGGACGTTGCAGAACCAACCAACCCAGCATTTTTTTGGGGTGGCTGTTGTGGTTTTTCTAGGCAAGTTTACGTCCAGTAGTTTGCCATTGCTTTCTGGACGGTCTGCTTCTCAATACCACTGCGTAAGGCCTGCACCTGGGATCGAACCCGTCACCCCAGCATTACAAAGCGCGTTCGTTACGCCTAAGCCACAGACACGGACTCTCCCTCACTACAGTGTCTAATAATTGTTGTTTGTTAGATAGGCTCAGATATCCTGTCAGTACTTAACGCCGACTGGACAATAGAATTTTGTTTTGGGTACAGTATTGGGTGTCCTGTAAAGAATATGCAACTAACCTTTTTTTTTTGGTCAGGTGTGTGGCCGGGTGTGATCCCAGCTGCGGGCCATGTGCCTTGCGTTGGTTTCGACTGTGGTATCAAGAAAGCCGACCGTCCAGTAAGCAGTGGCAAACTACTGGACGTAAATTTGCCTAGAAAAACAACACAACAGCCAGGGGCTGTTGAGGTTGGTTCAGCAACGTCCTGTAAAGGGTACACAACTAACCTTACTGGGTAGATATTTTTTAACGGGTTGTTTAAAACAATTTTTTTTTTATTGAATAATTTTATTGATAACATGTAATGATGACTAAATGTAGAAAACCCTTAACAGTTATTTTTATAGCAAGATTTTTTTTAGCTTTTGCTATTGTTTGCTTCTCCCTGCATGTTCTCCCCTTTTTTTGTAACCTCACTGTCTAAATACCTTCTCCATATGTGTTTTGTGTAACTATTTTTTTTAAAATATGCTCCTGTTCATTCCATTGTAAGTCATTGTGGTTATAATGTTCACAGGTTTTTCTAGACTCATGTCTTATCCAGTGCCAGCATATTTTTATTCACTAGAATTTGTTTAATGCTCACTTTTATTATTCTTCATTTTATTAGGACTGTTTTTGATGGCATCATTCCATATTCTTTTTGTTCTTCTCCTTGCTTGATGTCCATTATATTTCTTCAGCGTGGCTCTCTGCCGCAGTTATTACCAGCTGTTGTTTTCGTCAGATGGCCAAACCTTGTCATTTACTGCTCATTGATAAACTATGTGACCAGTCAACCCCCCTCCCCCCCCCCCCCTCCCAAATCCCAAATTTTGTTTATGTATGCAGTCTCTAAACATACATTTAAGCATGAAACTTACTATGCAGTTCATGATTTCATTCTGATGGTTGTTTTTAAATTACAGGAAGTTTCCAGATTATAATGAAAAATTACAAGCACTGTACATTAGAAGTCGCTACCCATTTCCAGAAGTAGAGAAGTTTGTACAGCTGTCCAGAGACAGGTAAATAATGGAATTTGTTTTCTTTTTTCAGAATTGTTTTCTTTTTTCTTAGTTGTTTTTCTTGTTATTCTTCTGCCTATAGTCCCTCAGTGTCATAGGTCCTCAACCAGCTGACATTGACCCGTGTTATTCTTCTGCCTATAGTCCCTCAATGACATAGGTCCTCAACTAGCTGACATTGACCCGTGTTATTCTTCTGCCTATAGTCCCTCAATGACATAGGTCCTCAACCAGCTGACATTGACCCGTGTTATTCTTCTGCCTATAGTCCCTCAATGACATAGGTCCTCAACCAGCTGACATTGACCCGTGTTATTCTTCTGCCTATAGTCCCTCAATGACATAGGTCCTCAACCAGCTGACATTGACCCGTGTTATTCTTCTGCCTATAGTCCCTCAATGACATAGGTCCTCAACCAGCTGACGTTGACCCGTGTTATTCTTCTGCCTATAGTCCCTCAATGACATAGGTCCTCAACCAGCTGACATTGACCCGTGTTATTCTTCTGCCTATAGTCCCTCAGTGACATAGATCCTCAACCAGCTCACATTGTCCCATGTTATTCTTCTGCCTATAGTCCCTCAATGACATAGATCCTCAACCAGCTCACATTGTCCCATGTTATTCTTCTGCCTATAGTCCCTCAATGACATAGATCCTCAACCAGCTCACATTGTCCCATGTTAGTCTTCTGCCTATAGTCCCTCAGTGACATAGATCCTCAACCAGCTCACATTGTCCCATGTTATTCTTCTGCCTATAGTCCCTCAATGACATAGATCCTCAACCAGCTCACATTGTCCCATGTTAGTCTTCTGCCTATAGTCCCTCAGTGACATAGATCCTCAACCAGCTCACATTGTCCCATGTTATTCTTCTGCCTATAGTCCCTCAGTGACATAGATCCTCAACCAGCTCACATTGTCCCATGTTATTCTTCTGCCTATAGTCCCTCAATGACATAGATCCTCAACCAGCTCACATTGTCCCATGTTAGTCTTCTGCCTATAGTCCCTCAGTGACATAGATCCTCAACCAGCTCACATTGTCCCATGTTATTCTTCTGCCTATAGTCCCTCAGTGACATAGATCCTCAACCAGCTCACATTGTCCCATGTTATTCTTCTGCCTATGGTCCCTCAGTGGCATAGGTCCTCAACCAGCTCACATTGTCCCATGTTATTCTTCTGCCTAAAGTCCCTCACTGGCATAGGTCTTCAACCAGCTCACATTGTCTCATGTTTTGTTATATTATCACAGTCAGTGTCACTGCACACTGGGCAATCCTGTGCATGCTGAATCCTCCAGTGCAGTAGCCAGTCTAAGGTACTTCTACTAATTGTTTCCCTGAGAGGTTGGTTATCATGTCTCCTATCTTGGCCTTGAAGGCGGCATACACGGGCTTTACAATGCTTTACTGCCATGTCAGGCAGTCATGTTAGTGTCAGAGATTTATCATTATCCTCTAATCCAGTGATTCCCAAACTTTTCGCCACAGCACCCCGGGGGAGCCGCGACCACTTCACAGGGGTGCCGAGAAATTTTTGAAGAAACATGAGCTTTATTTTTGTTATCTCTTACACACAAATAGTCATACTTTTACTTAGGTTTGGAAAATATTTTCATTGAAAAAAGGGGCAGTGACTAAGACAAGTTTGGGAAACACTGCTCTAATCCATTGCGTACTGCATTGATGAGGGGAAACCACCGCTGTATTATCCCTAGTAAATCAAAGCTCAAAATATTACGAATTTAGATAACGCCGTGAATTGGGATTCCAGTGGAATCACCCCGTTCGGTAGGGAGCATCTTGTTCTATGGGTGATACCTGACCATTATCCGGCTACTCTAAAAGTATGTGGTAGAAACATCCTGAACATTGGTACATGGACTGTCAGAACACTCGTACAAAATTGAAAGCAGGATAACATCAAGATGGTAATGAAGAGAATGAACATCGACATATTAGGAATTAGTGAAATGCTATGGCCAGGAGCAGGGGAAAAGTATTCAGATCAGCAAATAATTATTTACTCAGGTGGGAAAGAATATAGTGAGGGAGTTAGTATTATTTTGGATCCAAAGAACTCAAAAACTGTGAAAGGATTTTGGACAATAGATAGAGTACTATTAGTAAAACTTTGCGGCAGGCTTCGCTTCGCTTGACATCAATTTAGTACAGAATTATGCCCCAACAGCAGATAGTTAAGAAGAAGATATTGACACATTTTATGATGAGTTAGACATGGCTGTTGATCAATGCAAAAATTGTGAAGTAACAATGGTACTTTGAGATTTCAACGCGAAAATAGGAAGTGAAGAACGGAATTACGTGTGGCTATGGCCTAGGAGAAAAGAATGTGAGAGGTGACAGCATGGGCTGAGTCGCACAGCATGATAATAGGTGACATCTGGTTTAAACACCATGCTCAAAGATTGTGGACTTGGAAAAGTCCTGGCGGTAATATCCGCAATCAGATTGATTATGTTTTGATTTCAAGAAGATTCCGGAGCAGCTTAATTGGAGCAAAAACTAGACCAGGAGCAGACTGCTTTAGTGACCATGTTCCAGTTGTAGGAAAAATTAGAATAAAACTAAAGAACATTAGGAAAACACAACAGAACATCAATTTAAATTTAGGAATTCTTAGAACGGATAAAAAAATTAAGGAACAGTACAATGTCACTGTACAAAACCGATATAATGCAATATAAATTATACAGACTATTGATGAACAGTGGAATATGTTGCGGGAGTCAATTCAGCAGACATCAAAAGAGACAATCCCACCAACCCATAGAGTTGCAAAAAAGAAATGGATATCAACCGATATTCTGCAGTTGATGGATGAAAGAAGGAATGATAAAGAGGAATACTCTAGAAGACAAAAAGAAATAGTGAACAAATGCAAAGTGGCTAAAGAAGCCTGGCTTAATCAAATGTGTACAGAGATTGGGGAAAATCACAGGAAAGACTCACATTCCACATACCAACAGATAAATATGTTAACAGAAAAGATGACACGTAACAGCACTGGATGAATAAAATGAAAGATGGTGACTTATTAATAGGACATACTAATATAATTAACAGATGGACAGAATATACAGGGGAATTGTATGATGACAATAGACCAGATGTAGAACTCAGACCAACAATGATGGTCCACCAACAATAACTGCAGAAGTTGAGGATGCAATACATCATATGAAGAAAGGAAAAGCACCTGGGCCAGACAACATCTGACTGAAAGAAATCGAAGCACTGGGAGATTTTGGAATTGAAATAATAACTAAACTATTAAATGATATGTATAATAGTGAGTATATTCCAAATGACCTTTTAAAATCCATATTTATAGCTCTGCCAAGGAAATCAGGCACTTTAAAATGTGAAGACCATCGCACAATAAGTCTTATGAGTCACATGACTAAGATTTTACTGAGAATAATTATGAGAAGAATAAGACACAAAATTAAACCAGAAATCAGCAATGAACAATGTGGATTTGTAGAAGGAAAAGGTACAAACATTGCCATATACATCCTAAGGACATTGTCAGAAAGAGCTATAGAATTAAAGACTGATTTGTACTTATGCTTCATAGACTATACAAAAGCATTTGACTGTGTGAAGCATGAAGAAGTAATCAAACTGTTAGAAAAATTAAACATTGATAAAAAAAGATATACGAATAATAAAGAATAAGTATTGGCAGCAAACAGTAGCTTTAAGAATTAACAACTATTTAGGTACATTTCAAAGCATAAAGAGGGGCGTACGACTAGGATGTCAGTGTTCTGACTAAAGTGTCAACAAAGCCAGGAATCTTCTCTCTACAGCTTCCATCAAGTGTGATATGGACTGTAATATTTATGTTTGGAGAGGGAGGCATAATTATTAATTGAATTCCAAAATTAATGTCAGTAAAGCGGCAAACATTTTCCATGGCATCTTCAGCTGATGGCCTTCTTTATCCCCTCACACATGCCTTTAATATTATCCCTACTGATAGCATTTTGAATGCTTTCACATAACTAAATCCAGTAGTTGTTGGCACACTGTCTAGCTATCTTTTGCAAGTGATTTTTAGCTTCTCTCAATTCACTGAAAGTGTTCCTAGTTGATCTTTCCTTGTTTCTGAGGAGTATTCACTTTTTTTGCTGTCAGTTAAGTGTTGAAGTGTCTGGCTATTTGCTTCAAACCAGTCCTTACTTCTTTGTTCGCTAATGCCATAGACTGATGAAGCTGTTTTGTAGACAGTCTCCTTAACTCATCTTCGGATATTTTTGTTTTTTTAAAGTGAAAATTCTCTTTGGTTTCATCCGAACTCTTGCAGCAACTAGGGAATGGTCAGTATCACAGTCAGCACTGTGGTAGCTGCGAGTTAGTGATACACAGTTTAAGTGCTGCCTCCTTGTGAGAATAAGGCCCAGCTGGTGCCAGTGGCCAGTTTCCATGACACCTTATGGCGGTCTTTAGATTTGAAAAAGGAGTTTGTGATGCACAAGTCACTTCCAGTGCAGTTTTCCAATAGTCTCTGCCCATTTTTATTTTTGTGACCAACATTATATTTTTTAATACAAACTGACTATGAGTTTGAGTCAGACCCCACACGAGCATTAAAATCACCATGTATTTAGATGCCGTCAGATTTAGAAGTTGCTCTCACTGTACTATCTAGTTCCTCATAAAAAGAATAATTTGCGTCCTCCGTTGATGTTAGAGTGGGTGAATATGCAGTAACAAGGGGATAAATCTGCTTGAGGAAGACAATCGTAGGGATAATATTATGTCATTTCCTCCAGTTTGACTCTCAACTGATCCCAGCAGTGAATTCTTTACTGCAAATCCCACTCCGTACTTTGGGATTCCTGGCCTCTGCCTTAAACTAATGGACCCATCCTCTGGCAGACTCGTTTCCTGTAGGCCAGCAATATCTGTGTCAAGTTTATTGAGCATCAGTGATAGCTGTTTTTCCTCACATCATTAATGTTTTTCAGGTCATGGAAAACCCAGGACTCATGGTCTTCATGTTCCAAGAGCCAAATCAAAGCTTGAAGCTTTGTTTCTTTTTATTGCCTAGTGCATTGGTTTTTATAGCCTGCGATTTAGTCCTAGCTCCAAGCACCCTTTGAAGCACACCGACTGTGGAAAATCAACACCTTATTGGCTGAGGACTGCCCAGCTTGAGGTGGGTGGTAGTTGATCAGTGACATTTGAAGATGTCTTCCCGCATCAGAGGCAACCCGTGATAAGAACTTATAACCCATAATTGCTGCCTCTCAATTTGTTTCTGAGACCAATTGGGGCCAAGGAGGACGTTCATCCTCTCTATGGCACAAAGTATTGTAGAGACCATATATTGCTCATGCATCATGATCCCACTCTTGACCTGCCTTGTTTACTCCAAAGGAAAAGAAACACCAGTACCTTTGGAACAAAGCAAGCTACAGAAGCTGCTGGATCGGTAGAGCAGTGCTATATCTGTCCGAGTGTCGGAGCTTCCCTCCTAGACCATCTGCTCGCCAAGGCAAAAGGCCTAGTCTGCACTGCTATAACAAAGTTTTTAGTCTGCATTTCCTCTTCCTAGGGTAAGGCTAGTATCCTCCCCAATGTGCTTCTACGCTTGAAGCCGTTTGCACAATATAAGGATGACATGTTTGGTATATGCCACCCAAGATTCGATGTAACATAAGACAGGTGGTACCGGCTACTGTTATACGGTAGCTCAGTCATCACGAATTATTGTAACATAATTAATATACTAAAAAGAGACACAGCAATTTCAGTTTGTGGGAAACTCTCCAGGATACAGGCCTGGTCATGTTGAACTAGAGTACAAGCTGTTGACCAGGTAGCAGGTGCCCTTTTTCTGTGTCATTGCCAATACCAAAATCTGTTTTGTTGTTGTTGTTATGTACAGGTAAAAATTAGGACTAACTGTGCTGTCTTGCACAAAAAAGGTCAAAATGTGTATACAAAGGTACATAGACATTTACCATTGATTTGTTAGGAAAAGTTTATAAATGGTACAACATGGCAGAATATCCGTTAGCTTTTCAGATGAAAGAGCCACATATAAAGGCCGTAATTCTATGTTATTTATGTGCTGCAAGCAGACTATTCACATCTCACATATCACTAAACTAAATGTGTGTATCAGGTTCAGTAGTAGTATCTGTGGCGCATTTCAATGTTTGATGCAATTTATATCATTAGGTACAATTTACAAATGATACACTACGATGGCAGAATTAAGGAATGTCTAGCAACTTTGAAAGTGAAACATCCTCAGATGAAAGCTGTGATTATGGGAACACGGAAGACTGATCCATGCTCAGGTATGCTTACTTCCAGGGAGTCTTTATGCTTAACTCTACCAGACTGCTATTATGGGAATTTCCTAATCTGCCACTAAACCGCTGTCCCTCAATGTCAGGAATTTGCGTACTATGAGAAAACAATGCGTCATAAACTATAAAAAAAACTAATCAGATCTCATGGATGGTCTTCTCAGATGTCTGCCCCCAGGTGTTTGGATTAAATTTGTGTTGTTTTACATGAACAAATTCTGAAAATTCACAATAAAATGGCGGCTGATGAACCAAGCACTTTGACAGAAAAGTGAAGTAGGTCTAGGCTTTTTACAGTCCAACAGGTGATTGATACTTTGGTTGATTCAGACTCTGTGGAGTCATAATTTCATGAAGAATACATTCCCAGTTCAAGTGACACAGACAGTGTGAGCTAGAATGATGAGGAGAATCTTGAAAATTCTAAATCTAGAAATAGATTGAAAGTAGGAGACTAGAAAAAGATCGAAAGTAGGAGAAGGGGCGTGTCCCTCAAATAGCAACATCTAGTGTTCACTTTGTGAAAAAAGGTTGATCCTGCTGGGTGGATCAGCACACAAAGGTGGAATATTGGCGCTAGATAAAAGGTAAACCTATTTTCTACAATGTCTCCAAGTTTCATCTCATTCTAGTCACTAGTTTGCATGTAACTAATATTGTTGTATATCAGGTTGGTTTTTTCGCGTTAATGCCTAGGAGCTCAGGTATAGGGGGCAGTTAGGTTCAGGGCCTGAGGTCTGGTAGGGTTAAGATGTAACCCAGACAACATTATCTTTGCACATTTTTTTCTGCTGGTTTCCTCATCACCACAGTGAAGAATGGAGTGACTTCCCAGCTTCCACTGGTCTTTTAGTTTAGAGACATGTATCTTTGCAAAAGTTGTGTTTGGAGGTGTCATAGACTTTCTATTATCAGCTAACTTGTTTGGGCCACAAACGTCTATAAAAGTGACCAAATAACTAATTAATACAAAGATGTATACTGATGCAAAAGACTTGCATTGATGCATTTTAAAGTCTTCAGAACTCATGCCTAGAATGTGTGCTTGCGAAACTCGATATTTTAAGTACTTCAGTGCCGGGCGCTTATTGTTGTCATCATCATCATGTAGCAGGTCCTTTGCAGAACGTCGCTCTCATCACGGTCTGCCTAAAAGAAACTCGGTCTCTCGCCAGTTCTCTTGCCTCATGTACTTAAGGAGTCACTTATATCCTGTGCCCATCTTCGTAGTTTAAATTTTGGCTTCCATGATGAATTTCTTGGGCTAGTAATGTGGTAGTTTCCCGTTGCTTTCCACAAATTCTTGTGTACGTTGTGGATATGTAATATGTTTTGCCAGTTTATTACTGCCTAATCTGGAACTGTGTATTTGATCCCGTACAACCTTTTTTTTTTTTAGGAGTGCTGGATGATGCAGTAAAGTAAGGCTTGATGAATGTGATATTCTAGGCAGAATTTCATTATTTTTGCGCTACCTGCATCTGCCAAACATCTTTGAGATCTTTAAAATGGCGGTGAAATTGAAGATACAAAAATTGATGATTTTGGGAATTTGGTACACATTAACAATGACACAATGGTGGTAGCACTGGATCTTGAGGATGCTTAAAACAGAGTAAGATTCGACATCTTGATTTTTGCACTGAAGGAGAAGAAGGTCAGTCCATGGCTGGTGAATCAGGTTGCAACTGTCCTGTATTTAAGTCTGGTTGCTCTCAGAACCATGCGGTTTGGCCCCAGGACTGCCACAGGGATCCATCTCACCTGTGCTCTTTAACGTGTATACGAGCAAGATTGCAAGCCTAGAAGCACCAGGAGTTGGAAGGATACTGACTTTTGTGGATGATATACTCGCATGTAGGCAGGGGGAAGAGAGGGAAAAAACAGCTCGGGAGCTACAAGCAACAGTAGACAAAGTGACTGAGTGGTGTACAGAAATAATAGACCAATGCAAAACTGATGTCATCTGCCACTGCGGGATTTACTGAGGAGGGGATCCGAGCACTTATGGACTGAGTGGTTCGACATGCAGTGAGGATAATCTGTCGACTAACTAACTAACTAACAAGGCTCTCAATTTTAAATAGTGTCCTTTCACTTTTTATAAATGGTTAATATTTCAGAACATTTTGGCACAGCTATCTAAATTGTTATATGTCTGGAGTTTTTGTGTGTGCTGTATATGTGTAATTTATGTTTGTATTGTTTGTTTCTTTGTGTGTGTGCATATATATGTGTGTGTGTGAGAGAGAGAGAGAGAGAGAGATTAGTTACTGTTATTTTTGTTATACACATTATTACTCTTCTGGTCAGTTTTGAGGCATTTGAGGGTATTTGTGATTGTAATTACAGATCAGCTGAGGGAATTCTCAATGACGGATGCAGACTGGCCACAGTTGATGCGCGTTAACCCTCTGCTAGAGTGGCACTACAAACATGTTTGGCAGTTTTTACGACAGCTGTGTCTACCATACTGCAGTCTGTACGATCGCGGGTTGGTATTCCTATTAATGATCTTTTTTTTTCTTCAAATCCAGGGACAGTTTTGAATTGCTCAATTATGTACTTTAAATCTAAAGATAATTTAATATAACTGGCTAGGAAATGTTTTAATAGGGGAAAAAAGATACATCAAGCATACAGTTGCATTTTACTGAGTATGCTAGTTTCGTGTAAAGGAATTTCAAGGAGAAATGTGATTTAATGAGAGTTGTGATTTATGATTTGGGTTATCTTCACCGCACTCCAGACATGTCCATAGGGGCTCAGACTCCTCCCTCAGCAGATACATCTGCGTCCGGCAGTTGATAGTCCCAGTCCTATGTTGGTTGACAAGACTTCTTGTGTGTTCGGTGTGCTTCTCATGCCTCACTGTGCCGATCATTTTTCCCAATTCTTGCACTCTTAGCAAAGATGTGGATGCGCTGCTCCCAAGATCCTCCGATCGTCCTGCCTCTTTATTGGCATTAACAATGTCTGCATAATCCATGGGCCGGCCCTTTGTAACTAAGGCAGAGCCAGCGAATATTGTCAGCTCTTTCATTTCCAACAACACCCGCATGCCCCTGGGCAAAGATGAAGCTAACTCAACATACAGTGTAGTTTTGCAATGACTAAATCCGCTGTCGATGCATAAAGCCCACCTCAACAGGCCAGATCATTTTCATGGAATAACTCAGCACACACACACGTGGGAATAGCCCTGTGATGCTAGCCACATGAAAGCTGGTGTTCCGCCATCACCTCCATTGTCATGCTGCTAGTAGTCATACGGAAAGCACCACTGACCTCCTGGACTGTTCTGCCTGCAGAGCATGCAGTAAATGCCCCTGAACATTTTTGTCCTCATACAATGGACTAATCTGTGTAAATCTGTACATCTGCCTCATCTGTATGTTCTCATATAAGTGCATGGACCTCTGCATCGACAGCAACTGGATTCTGCTCCCGACAGGTTCTATCAAGCATGACAACATAGGAAAAGGTGCAGTTGAGCACCTGGGGCTGTAAGACTGCAGACCTATATGATATCGTCCTCTGCCCTACCGAGCCATGATTTGCCTCTTTTCAGCCTGTTGCCCTTTTTCCTACAGAAAAAATTGTGCAGAGGCTGCTTCAGCGTGCAACAAGAGTGCATAAAGATCACTGGTAAGATATGTTTAGGAAGGCATTGCACATTAAGATATATGGACATGTGAGCAGAGCAACGAGTTGGGCAAACTCTCCAAAATCTTCTCTAAGAATTCCTTTTGACTTTCTGGAGATTTCATTAGAGCTTGAGTAGGACCTTGAGCTGCAGTAGCGTGGTAGGAAGCATGCTTACATACCATGGTCATGTTTTTGATATTACCTCGAGGGAGGAACTGTTCTTAATTAACCTGAGTTCCTAGGCTGACCTAGCCTGAAGTGAGTACTAGAGATTGTTGATAAGTTAATAAAGCCAGTCTGATATTGACGACGTTAGTCTGTAAAATATAAATATGTTTTTAATGTGCCTCATAGTGTGCCAAGCTGAAGTCTTCAAAGTGGGTGGTCCAGATCTGACTGAGCAGCTACTCAAGATATTTCAAAGAATTTGGGAGAGTGAGACCATCCCACAGGATCTTAAGGACGCTGTAATAATTCACCTGTACAAACGTAAAGGAAACAGTCAGTTCTATGATAATCACTGAGGCATCTCACTGCTTTCAGTTGCCAGAAAGATTCTTGCCAGGATTCTCCTGGGTCGTCTCACAGCTCATCTCGACATAGATCTCCTTCCTGAAAGTCGGTGTGGTTTTAGAAAAGTTTGTAGAACTGTTGATATGATTTTCGCTGCTAGACAGCTGCAAGAGAAATGTCAAGAACAGAATTCGAACATGTTTTCCACCTTTATTGATCTTACGAAAGTGTTTGACACAGTAAATCAAGATGGACTGTGGAGAATTAAGGAGAAATTTGGTTGCCCACACAAGTTCATCCAGAAAGTGCGTCATTTTCATGATGGTATGCAAGCAAGAGTGCAGGATAACAGCGAACGGTCAGAGTCTTTTCCTGTCATAAACGGAGTCAAACAGGGCTGCGTGCTTGCACCGTCACTGTTCAGTCTGCTATTTTCAGCCATTTTGACTGATGCCTTTGTAATAATCACACTGGAATCGACATAAATTACCGCGTGGATGGAAAGCTGTTCAACCTCAGGAGGCTGAAAGCAAAAAAGACAAACTAAATCAGACACCATCAGGGAGCTCCTGTCTGTCGACAATTGTGCCCTTTATGCCAACAGAGAAGCGGATATGCAGCACAACATCGACAAATTCAGTGATGCCTGTACAAACTTTGGGCTCACCATCAACAAAGATAAAACTGTAGCCATGCACCAGCCAGCCCTAGGGCAAAGATACATTGAGCCCAATATCACAGTGAATGACTGCAGATTAAACGTTGTCAGGAAATTTACTTATCTAGGCAGCACCCTTTCACAGAGCGCCACAATTGATGACGAAGTAAATGCAAGGATCTCTAGGGCTAGCTTTGCCTTTGGCAAATTGTACAAAAATGCTTGGAACAGAAGTGGCATAACCCTGCAGAAAAAACTTAAAGTATACAGAGCAGTTGTATTAACTACACTGCTGTACGCATGCGAAACATGGACTGTATACCAGCGCCAGGCTAGAAAGTTAAACCACTTTCACACAGTCTGCCTTAGAAAACTAATGTAGATCAGATGGCAAGACAAAGTACCTGATACTGTAGTCCTTGAGAAAGCAGCCATGCCCAGCATCTACACTCTACTGATCCAGTATCAAATTCGTTGGGCTGGTCATGTGGCACGCATGCCAGATCACAGTTTCCAAAAAAACTCTTCTACTGTAAACTGCAAAATGGGAAACGTTCCCAAGGCGAGCCAAAGAAACGCTTTGAGGACACCTTAAAGTCTTTACTGAAAGCATTTGGGATGAATGACACCAATTGATTGGCTGCCTCTCAAGACCTAAATGCATGGCGTACAACTCTACACAAGGGCGCGGCTACATGTGAATCAAACAGAACAGCAAGACTGATTAAGAAAGGGATGAACAGAAAGGCGACTGTAGGAGATCCCCTCCCTGGCACAACACTCATTCCCTGTCCTCACTGTCCAAGAAATTTTCGGACACGCATCGGCCTCATCAGTCATCTTGGTACTCATACTTGATGAAAAAGAGTGGTCATCATCATCTTGATGGACAACACACACAAACACACACACGCAGTGTGCCTAAGGGTCCCTTACGTTTTGCTTAAGTGTTGGTCTACATGACAGAGGGTTTGATAGGGCATAATTCTGATTATTTTGATATTTAATGATTAAATCTTTCTCTAGTTATATTTTACCATTTTTGTACTGGCATAGTGTACTTTAAACTAAAGATAACACAGTCGATAGGAGACTCGCTTTCAAATCCAGCTGCCACTCGCTGCAGCCCACGGTCGGTGTTTGAAACCGGGCGGTTACCGGGGTTCACCCAGCCTCTAGGAAATGGGTACCAGAGTTGACACTCTGGGGTAAATGGAGGAACGTTGCTGTAGCTACAGAGTTACGCATGGACGGCGACTCAGGCGGACAGTTCTTATCAACTGTCCGTACTGGTTGCAGAGCACTTATGGTTTATAACCGTGTGCAATGACGTTGGTTCACATCTCCCGACTTGACCTTTTTTACCTTTAAACTAAAGATAACTCCTCTCTGTGACACTTTGTGATAAGCATTAGGATAAAATAACAAAAGGATAAGATGCCTGAATACTTTACTTTCATTTGATTATCTGATTTTAGCGGATATGATATAGTTCTTTTTACTGTCTTTAATTCATCTTCATCATGATGTGCTGTGCTGGTAAATTTAGGCTGTCATGTTTCGTCATTTTTCCATCTCACATGATCATGAGAATCCCAGATCAGTTCACCTTTTTCGTCTTGTCCCATTCATTTAGCCATGCCATCCAGGTATTTCTCTCTCTGTCTTCCTCTTGCTCTCTTTCGATCAATCTTGTCAGTTGTTATCAAGTTCTCAAGTCTATTCCTTCTCATTTTATGCCCAAAAAACATTGACTGTCTATGTCTAGTTGTTCTAAGTTCACATTTTCATCTTCTCTCGATGAGGACTGCTTCCTTTGTTTCTCTATCTTTCCATATTATCCTTTGCATTCTTCCCAGAAACCACATCCCTGCCGTGAGTTAATGTTTTTCAGTTTGTTTACTTATTGTCCATGTTTCACATGCATAAAAAAACACAGGTTCTACATAACACTTTAACATTATTTTTCTCACCGCAAAATTGTAATTTTTTTTAATAAATCAATATTTTTTCTAATATTTAGAATGTGATTACTGATGCTGTCTTCCTTTGTCTTGTTTTCACAGTCTTCCTTTGTCTTGTTTTCACTGCATTCCTTTGTCTTGTTTTCACGGCCTTCCTTTGTCTTGTTTTTGCTGCCTTCCTTTGTCTTGTTTTCGCTGCCTTCCTTTGTCTTGTTTTCACTGCCTTCCTTTGTCTTGTTTTCACTGCCTTCCTTTGACTTGTTTTCACTGCATTCATTTGTCTTGTTTTCACTGCCTTCCTTTGTCTTGTTTTCACGGCCTTCCTTTGTCTTGTTTTCGCTGCCTTCCTTTGTCTTGTTTTCACGGGTTCCCTTTGTCTTGTTTTTGCTGCCTTCCTTTGTCTTGTTTTCATAGCCTTCCTTTGTCTTGTTTTTGCTGCTTTCCTTTGACTTGTTTTCACTGCCTTCCTTTGTCTTGTTTTCACTGCGTTCCTTTGTCTTGTTTTCACTGCATTCATTTGTCTTGTTTTCACTGCCTTCCTTTGACTTGTTTTCACTGCATTCATTTGTCTTGTTTTCACTGCCTTCCTTTGTCTTGTTCTCACTGCATTTGTCTTGTTTTTACTGCCTTCCTTTGTCTTGTTTTCACTGCCTTCCTTTGTCTTGTTTTCACTGCCTTCCTTTGTCTTGTTTTCACTGCCTTCCTTTGTCTTGTTTTCACTGCCTTCCTTTGTCTTGTTTTCGCTGCCTTCATCTTGTTTTCACTGCCTTCCTTTGTCTTGTTTTCGCTGCCTTCATCTTGTTTTCACTGCCTTCCTTTGTCTTGTTTTCACTGCCTTCCTTTGACTTGTTTTCACTGCATTCATTTGTCTTGTTTTCACTGCCTTCCTTTGTCTTGTTTTCACTGCATTTGTGCATCTTCTGATTTCTGGTTTAGTTTAGTCAGTTTGATTGTCCATTTCTTTTGTCTCCTTTATAGTTTTCGTCATTAAATCAGTGTTGCCCAGTTGTATCTCATTTTTACTGTGTCCAGTTTTTAAATTGAAGCTTCCTGTATATTATAGTAATACTGTATGATTTCCATAACACCTTCACTTGTGTGGCTGTTGACCTTAAGTCAGTGAATACATGTAATATTTCCTGATTGTTCACAGATACTCCTCGCTTGGTAGCATGGACAACACTCATCCAAACCCATTGCTCCAGTACATTGATGAGAGAGGAGTACTTGCTTTCAGACCTGCATATCTGTTGGAGAACGGTGAACGGGAGAGAGATGGCAGAAATAAGTGAACATAATTATTAAGGTCTTATTTTAGAAAATAAGCATGATTGTGCATTTTTTTTTCAAATGCACACAATTTACGATAAACAGAAACCAGATATAATGCCATATTTTCTAGCCAGTTTTCAAAAACCTCAACCTGACAGAAAGATGAATTTATGGGACGTTATTTAAAAACAAAACAAAAAAAGACATGATAACAGAAGCTAGGCATCAGTAGAAAATAATATTGTTAAACAGAATATGAGCTGTAATTATGATAAAAATAACATTGTAGTTGTTGTTGATACCAATGCTGAGTTGTCTGCTCCTGGCCGCTCGCCGCAGATCAGAAGGTCATGGGTTCCCTCCCTGGCAGAGCCGGACTATTTTCAAAAATGACCTTGGGTCCCAGGTCGACCCAGCCTTAAGTGGGTACCGGGTGCAGTCCCGGGAAGTAAAGTCGATTGTGCCGATTGGTCTATAAAAATATAGGTCTAGCCCTATATGCCTATACGCCTAAAGGCATGGAAAAAGGTCCTTTACTTTTACTTTACTATTTGTTTCAGGGATCGACAGTTTGTAACTGTCTCGGATGGCTAACAAAATTGTGAATACTGTCTGCACTGGGGCATATTTTGGGAATTGATACAGTTTAGACATCTGTTGATTCGGACATGCTCTGTGTGAAACAGAAAAATAAGGCTCAGCCCCCCTCCCCCTCCCTTCCCCTTCCCCTCCCCCTACCCAACCTAACTCTGATAAGACCATTAATGCTGTTACTGACTTTTATTTGAGACCTTTTAATTAAAAAAAAAAGAGTTTATTTTGTTCATTGCTTCTATTTCTGTCAGTGCTGTTCCTGAGAATCTTGTGGACTGCTGTTATTCTGAAAGATCTGTTCCTTTGCTATTTTGTGCTTCCTGCTTTACTGGCAGGTCTGTCAGACCTAGTAAGGTGACTGTTCCCTGCTTTACTGGCATGTCTGTCAGACCTAGTGAGGTGACTATTCCCTGCTTTACTGGCATGTCTGTCAGACCTAGTGAGGTCACTGTTCCATGCTTTACTGGCATGTCTGTCAGACCTAGTGAGGTGACTGTGACTGTGACCTTGGAATCCACCCCTCTGTTATACTGATGGAGGGGCTGTGTAGCTGGGCTTGCTGTTCCTACAAGAGAAGGGTCTCTACTAATGGTCTAGTAGCAGCTCTTACTACAATAATTTCTACTTCATAGTTGGAGCAGTGTTCACCACGTGAGGTAGAGAACACAAAGGATGTTCTATTCAGGTATTTGAGGCAAACACCATGTCCTGCAGTTGTGATAACCTTAAGTACTGAACCATCTTTGTATGCCTTACAAATATTTGCTGAAGAAATGTTTATGTTTTTCAGGCACTACTGTGGAAGTTGGTAACCATTTTGTTAAGTAGTGTTATTTTTATTTTTAATAAGTGGAAGAAAATGTTGACTTCATTTGTGTACTTGCTTTTTTGGGCCATTCTAAGAGAGATCACTGTTTCCATCTTTATGTTGCATCAGACACTACTCTATTTATATGGTCTTGTTGTATTATGTACTTTTCTGATATTTCATAGTTTCAGACCGCTCTTTTACTGTGGCTTTAATTTGGTAGCTATTTTAGATGCAGACGTCAGCCTCATTCCTGCACAAGTAAGTTGAGATCTTGGCTTCCAACATGGCCCAGAAAGCATAGAAAGCTAATGCCGATCATGGCCTGGTTCAGGAGGTTGTAATCTATCACTAACCTAACCAGGCTGAAATACAGATGGCAGAATGTGTGATTATATTCCTCCCAAGACTTGCTGGCGGAGATTTGACAAGATGCAGATGCCTGTTTGCTTTTTTTTGGGGGATGGGGGGGGGGGGAGGCATTTTTCCCCCCTGAACATCAAATAAATAGGACCAGTCTGAAGCAAGTTAGTATGTTCAAGTAGCACAAATAACAGCAGTACCCCAAGTTCTTAAACGTATTGATTTGCTTCAGATTTGTCCCACTGGCTTTGATGCTGCATTTTGAAGACATCACTGTCACTGTCATAAAATCTGTTCTTTTTTGGTGTGCAGAGGGTCCAACCAGCTGCATCTTTTTTAGAAAATCACTTTATTCATCCTGTCAGTGTTCTTAGTCCTGTGAGGATCAGAATTCAGCACACCTAGAACCAGTTTTTTCCCCTTCATTTTGTACAATTATTTTGTATAAGGCCCCCCCCCCCCTTTTCCCCCATGTCATTGCTTTTCCCTCTCCTTTGTTCATGGTACATTTCATAATAGTTCTTTCTCTCTGGTTATTTTTTTGTCCCAAATTTGTGAAATCAGTAACAGTTGCTTGTTTGTTAACTTATAATTCTGCTGTTTTGTTCATTTAAAAAGAAGGGTTAACAACTTTCAATTGTACTTGTAGATGTCTTTTCCTATTTTTTCATTGAGCTTCCGCTATGTTTAGCTACTTCTTGATATCAGCTTGACTGCTGCACCTATTTTTATATTTGGTTTTGTGTCCCATGTAACCTGTAGCCCCATGAAACTCCAAAATGTCACTTGCAGTTGAGCCTAATTTCTGGATAGGGTCACTTTTCTGACTCTGTTGTAGTTGCCTGTTCAAGATACATCTAGATAATAGCACTGTTATCACTTACACTAAGCAGGAATGATAAAAATCACATTTAGCGAGGTTTTCCTGTAAAAAAAATATCATGTCATAATTTTCTCGTTGGTCACAGTCTTAACCTGTGACAGGGTTAAGAGTGAGAAAAAAAAAAGATTCACGACCTAAGTTTATTTTTAGACTCAGACGTGACCCAGTTACTGCTGTGCTGCATTTGTGTTTACTGATGACTCCATGTATTTATTCTACAGGAAATTTTATATTTTGGTCAGTTAATGGAATCGTTTTGAATTTTGTGTGACCTGTGTAAAATGGTGTGTTTTTGTAATAATTTTTGTGGGGCGGGGGATTCCTTTATTGAAAGTCTGGCATTTTCTTCTTCTTCTAGGTTACCAGGAGAAAAGGGTTGAAATCTAAACACAAAAGAAGAAGTGAAAGAAGCAAAAACAAATGAGGAAAATAAATTTAAATTCAAATACAAAAACAGTTCTGGCTGCAAAAACAGATATTTACCCTTAAGCCTAAATTATATGCTTAAGTTTAACAGTTTTTGAATGACTTTATGTCATAGTTAGTAGAGCAGCAGTTTCACATGGTCATAGTCAAACCAACTACAAATAGCTAATTGCTGGAATTTGTGAATACTGATGATAAATCTACAACTGAACATTCATAGATTGATAGCATACTGGGAAGGCTAACCCGGTCAACAAATGCCCGCAGAAGTCGGATATGTTGGCCGAAAGGTGCAAATATCGCAGCCATGCTGTAAACGGACACAACGCAATTACATCTTCAGATGAACGCAGAAGATGAAGAAGAAGAAGTTTGAAAGCAGCTCACAAGATGTATCTTTCTCAGTAACATTATTCAAAATCAAGTGCCTCATAAAAATTTTTTCTTATGCTTGTTATTTGAATTGTATGCATGTTAAATGAATATTGCAATGGTTTATTAAAAAAAGTATGTACAGTATAATAAAGTTAAGTGAATTGTATGTATTGTAAGATGTAAGAAGGAAGAAAGATACATAAAAGAGAGTAAATCTGTCACCCGATCGTTCTCTCTCTTTCATGCGTCTGTCTGTCTGTCTGTCTGTCTGTCTGTCTGTCTGTCTGTCTGTCTGTCTGTCTGTCTGTCTGTCTGTCTGTCTGTCTGTCTGTCTGTCTGTCTGTCTGTCTGTCTGTCTGTCTGTCTGTCTGTCTCTTTTGTGTGGATTACATAAAGCAGATTTCCAGGGGGCTGTGAAAAGTCAAATTTTGTTTAAAGTAAAAAGGGAGAGATAGTCCTAACAAGTTTGGGAATCCAGGTGTTGGACAAACATTTGGCATGCTAGAGACATGGTTGGCTAATATCTGATGCTGCACTTGTATATTCCAGCTAGGTCTTCTTCTGTTGTTTCAATGTACAATTTCAATTTATATTTCTAATATTTGCGCAGAACATTACACTTACAAATGTTTGTAAAGGTCTTCCGGTGCCAACTACCTACAGATTTAACAGCTGTGTATATTGTGGGAATAGTCACATAGCAACAGTACATCATATATCATTAATCATTCATCTTAACATTAATGAATTATGACCATAACCGGCCTTGTTCACTGATCTAGGTGATCGTTATTTGTGTGCAGACTATTTACCTCGCCTCTCACGCAGATCCACTCATGCAGATCCACTCTGACTGTGAAGCAAACACCTCTAATTAGTCTACGTTTACGACATGCTTTATTTGGTGGGGGGGGGGGGATTTGGGACTATTGCCCCCCCCCCCCCCCCCCCCCCACCCCAACCCACACAGTGATTACATTTCCTATTATTTCAAGTATATTAGTATTATTTTTTTCCCTATTCAGTACAGTATTATTATTATTGTTATTGTATATACTTTTAGGATTAAGCTCCTCGAAGACCTCCCCCTCTCCCCCCCCCCTTTCCACCTTTTTTGTTTCCCCTTTTGCCTAAACAATTAGTATCATGTGGGGGAGGACGGTGGGTAGAGGGAGCCTCAGGGATTCCCAGCTCCCATGTTCTCTGTGTATCGGCACACCCTTGTTACTGTACACAGTTATAATAATTTAAATGTACACATAGGTATAGCAAACATTATCTTTATACCTACACTTCTTCTTCTTCATTGTTTACCAGCTGTAAGCTCCGACCGAAAGTCCTGGTTGTTAGTCAGTTTGGACTTTTGCTTTGTACCAGGGCCTGAGTTTTTTTGAATTTTTCTGATAAACTTGTATTTTAGAAACGTAATAGCAGTTTGCAAAACACGTTGCTGGAAGATTCTGGAAGCGAGCTAATGGTACCTATATATATAAGCGAGTGACTGGACCTCTCAAATCAGAGGGAGGGCAGGCCAAGCTAGGTTAGACTTAGTGGGCTAGACACTTAACTCT